TACTATAAATATCTATATAGTATTAAGTAAATTTTTATATATATATAGGGATTATACGTATATAATTTCAGCAAAAAGGGGGGGCGGACGCTGTTAACACAACAGACTATACTGCTAGAATACGCATATTTTGTGTCAACAGATCGAGCTAGACGGAATGCTTAGCAGGGTCCTAGATCCTTTTGGTCTTAGATTACAGCCACTAAAGTCTCACCTATGAACTGCTTGGGCCAAGTGACAGAAGCACAAATCGACATTGATAACTTGAATACACGTATTTTGGACATTTGACAAGTACTTGAATTTGTACTAAGTCCAAAGTCTGGTCAGACTCCCTCATGGCCCTTGCTATTACGCGGGCTAAGCACTCTGACCGCCAGATGAGGTACCGCGAACCGGTCAACTAGAGGCGATGCTACGGTAAATCTGCTCTCCCCTTTGCAAGTTGAACCCGACATTTCTTGATGCATCCCTAAAAGGTCCAGTTCTGACTCCTTCACAACAACACAGCGCGCCAAGCTAACAACATAGCCCACAACACACTGACCTGGGCGCAGATCTGCCAGCCTCACGATGATCCTTACCTAGCGCGACGCAAAACTGTGAATGTTGGCTTGCCTTCTGAAGTTCAAATTCACATAAATACAGGATGGTCTGCCAGTGACTCTGTAGCAAAATATACGGACAATCTACCCCAACAAGCTTCTCATCTTCATCATAATTTACAGAACAACAAATTCAAGCGCTGTCACGATGGCCATCCCACGATTTTGGAAGTCAGCAAGCACCACGGCTGCTGCACTACTCCTGTTCGGCAGCGTGCAAGGACAGCCATCAGCAGCAACAAACAACACGCCAGAGCTCTCGGGCTTCCCAGCAGTATGAAATCCTCTCTCCCTTCTCCCCGAGAGACTATGGTTCAGGCTTTTCTAACATCAATCCAGTGTGACGCACTTGTAGCCGCCAATCTATCTCACGCGGTTCACTTCCCGTCCTCTCCTCTATACCGATCCCTCGTCGAAAGCTCCTATGCCATTGACACGCGCAAACAGCCCTGGTGCTTCGTTCTCCCAAGCACCACGGCTGAGGTTTCTACGACTCTCACCGCTCTGCGCTCCGCCGGTGGCGGTGCCGGAGACTGGCACATCGCAATTCGCAGCGGCGGGCACGGGGGCGATAACCAGAACAATATCGCCGAGGGCGTGACCATCGACTTGACGCACCTCAACACCACCACGTACGATGAGACGACCAACGTTGCGAGCGTCGGAACCGGAGCGCGTTGGGGTGCAGTCTATGCCGAGTTGGAAAAGGACGGAGTCACCGTTACGGGCGGGAGAGAGGGTGTCGTTGGTGTTGGTGGGCTCCTTCTCGGCGGCGGTATCTCGTGGTACACGGCGCGTACGGGTTTCGCTTGCGACAGCGTCGTCAACTACGAGGTGGTTCTGGCAAGCGGCACGATTATCAATGCCAACGCATCCGTCCACTCCGACCTTTGGCGGGCCCTGAAAGGAGGCAGCAGCAACTTCGGTATCGTCACTAGGTTCGATCTCGAGGCGTTCCCGGCCGAGAATTTGAACATGGAGACGAGGGTTTACGCCCGGGAACACTCCGACGAGCTAATTGACGCGATTGCGGATTTCGCTGGTCTGAATCAGTCAATGGCGGATAATGCATTAATCTCCATGATGACCTACGACCCCAAGGTTGAGGACAGCTCAATCATGGTAGTCGAGGTCAACACCAGAAATAAGGCCAACAGCACAGCATATGATACTTTCAATCGTATCCCAACCTTGAATCCGGCTACCACGAAATCGGTGTCTCTTGTGGAGGCTGCCAATAGTACTCAGCTGTCCGGCGAAAATCGGTAAGTTGATCGAGGACGTCTTGTTCGCCTTACGTTGGCTCAACTGACCGTCTTGTCTCAGGAACGCTGGGGCTGGAGCTCTGACCATTATCAATGACCCACGGGTTATGCGCTACTGCTTCGAACAGTACAACGGTATTGTCGAGGCTATGAAAGCCCTCCTCGGACCGAAGAACTTCACCACGATCCTCGACTTCCAGCCGCTCCCTTCATACTTCGCAGGCATCGGTGTGAAAAAGGGAGGGAACATGCTTGGACTCGAGCGAGACTCCCGCAACAAGATCCTTTTCGTAATGGGAGTGACTCTGCTGGGCCCTAACAGTGAGGAGCTCTATCCCCGGGTTTACCAACAGGTTGCGGCTATGAACAAGAGGGTAGAGGAGTTTTCAAAGTCGATCGGCTGTGACAACGAGTTCAGATATCTCCCGTACGCTGACTCGAGGCAAAACGTCATTGGGAGCTATGGGAAAGCCAACGTGGAGCACATCCGCACAGTTGCCAAGAAGTATGACCCCAACGGTTTCTTCCAGCGCCGGGTGCCTGGTGGCTTCAAGATTAACAGGGTCTGATGAAAATACTCTTGCCCTAACCATAGGCCAGTACTCAAGAACATGATGTTCCACAACCTCCATCTCATCGAGAAGTTTTATGGTTGGTGTCAACGGCTTATTTTCTCTTCCATGAGACCGAATTTTTCAGCGATGTCTCCTATCATATTCTAGCTGCCTTGCTATAGAGTCTTGCTATCTAAGCGAATACTTCCAGTTAGCTAGGGAAATAATTGAGGTACTTTTATTAGGTCTACTAGTTTGTTGTATCTTGATAAACCTATTTTACCAATCTTCGCTGTCGTCGTTACTATCGTCGTCGTTATAATTACTGTTGGGATCTATGCCTACTTACTGCACGCCCGAGTAAATGGGAATAATATCCGCCTGCACAGCCAAACTCTTTTTGTAAATCTGTTTTCATATCCTCTTCAAGCCACGCAAAGCATTCCCCGTGCGATGGTGCTCACATCTTCAACAGACATATCTAGGTAATTCCCTCTCTCAAAAAAGTGGCCACTAAGATCGAAGTATTTTTACTCCTGCAGTATCCATACAGTAGCTTGAATGTCTGTCGTAGTTGTTTGAGGCTAACCAGACTTCTGTTTTCGCTCTGCTTATGTAACATCAAATCTTGCGGGGAAGAGCAGGGTTTGACTGGCGGGGTGGACAAGGAAGGCCCCAGGGAGTTAATGTAAGCGTTGTGGGCCCCTCCCTGTTCCTTCACTCATCTCACGACATCGCGTCAGTTCATGGCTGTGGATTCTTCCATCAACGTCTCACCTTGACTGTTTCTGCCCATCAATCTCTGATGCTTGATCAAGTCGATTGCAAGCAAATGATTCGAATCTCTACGTACCTTACGTAATATGACGAACCAAGATATGTCGCACTACACTACCACGTTTCGAGTGTCCCGTCCCCATCGGATTGCCCGCAACCGGCCAACCGTGTCTTGCTCCACCTGTCGAGCTCGGAAGTTGAAATGCGATAGACAACAGCCTTGCGGCGCATGCCAGAAACGAGGCCACGAGGACTCATGTCGCTTCGAGCCTGCCCCAAAGCAGCAGCTTGCCTCTTCTTCCATCGGCGACAGTCAAAATCGAATCAGAATCGGGCTGAGGCAGATGCAACATGTGCTTCAAGGTCTTCTCAGCCAATCTGGTCAGACCCAAACCCAAAACCAACCAATCAAAGCTGGTAGCGAGCTGGAAATTCCTTGCCATCAGTTGATGGAGAGTATCAACCGCATTCAGAATATGTTGGAAGACGACAGCCGCCCTAGAGCCCCAACTACTGCCCTGGACGAACAAACTCTTCCGGACCTGGGGCTTGGATTCATCAGTAAAGCTACTCTGACAGATATCATGGAGACTTTGCCGTCCCGCCAAGTTGCTGACAGAACAATATCTGCCTACTTCAACGCCAAGCATGTGACGGTTCCTTTTATCCACACGCATCAATTCAGAAGACAATATGAGGCCTTTTGGGGTGACCCCGCCGCTGCGAACCTCTTGTGGGTCAGCATCCTCTTCTCAGTTCTGGCCACTGGGGCTGTCGTCCTGGGTGCAAAGGCAGCATCTACCTCTGATTCAAATCACTATTTGGCCTACGTCACCATGTCAGCGCGGTGTCTCGTCGCAGGCCAGTACCAGAAAGCTACGGAGTTCTCGGTCGAAGCCTTGGTCATGCATGGTCACTCGCGTGCTCTCCAAAGGGGCAACAAAGACGTCGACATGTCTCAACTGCAAGCATTGACTCTTCGCATGGCGCAACGGCGATGCTATCATCAAGAAGCAGACAAGCTACTGCCGACTTTTACACCCTTCGAAGCAGAGATGAGACGCCGGGTGTGGTATTTGATCCAATACTATGATGTGATGTTCTCCCTCGAGTACGGGCTACCACCACTTATTCATGACGATACATTTACTACCTTTCATCCAACAAATGTCACCGACGACGAGTTTGACGAAGATGTCGTCTACTTGACGCCTCGACCGATAGAAGAAGCTCAACCTATGCTTCTCTGTGTGTGCATCTCTCATCTATTACCAATACTACGACGAATCATACGCCACGCTTTGGGTTTAAACACATGCACCTACTCAGACGCCTTGTCTCTCGAAGCCAAACTGAAGACGTGGTACGCATCGATCCCGCCTAGCCTACGCATACGCGCCATTAAAGATACCTCGTTCACGGACCCGAATCACATTGTCATGCAACGTATCATGCTTGAGCTCATGTATACTATGGGAACCGTCCTCCTGTACCGCCCGTTTCTCGATCTGATGAATCTCAATAATCCTGAGTGTCAAGTGGCGCTCAACGTCTGTCGGAGGCTGGCTGTGAAATCTGTCGGCGTCCATGTAGAATTCGATCATGAAATGCAGGAAGGCGGAAGACTATACCAGGATCAGCCCATCCCCTCGGGCTTGTCGGTGAATGACTTCTTTATAGCGACGATAGTGGCACCCCTCGAGTTTTTCGACTGTCCGAACCTACCGTAGGTGAACCACCCGTAAGGCTTGTTGATAATTATTGGAATACTGAGCTTTTCAAAGGCCAGGTGAAGAGGACCATATCATCAACCTGCTTCAAACAGCAACGCAGCTGTGGTCCAAGAGATCAGTTGCCTCCACTCATGTGCGTGAAAGCACGAGACTCCTCCGGCTGATTGCAGCAAAGGCTCAAACGGCCAGCCAAGGACGATACCACGTCCCATACCCGGTTCCAAGGTCATCCACCGCTGCCGAAGCAGAAATAGAGGAACATGGGTATTTGGCGCCGCAGCAATATCCCAGCGGGGAAGGAGGTTCTGCAGAATCAGACATTGCTTTTGAAGTCGGGCTTATTGACTGGAGCAACGCTGTGGGAATTGACTGGGTCAGTTAGCAGCTCTGCTAACTAGGAAATGTATTGCTGATAGAGATACAGGACCCAGCCAATTTTTGTCCCGACTTTGAGACGGTCAATCAAGCAATATCAAGGAAACCGTTCCTCGACACTCAGTGAAGCAGATGGCTCGAGGGGACGATGAAGAAGGAAACCCGCGGATTAAATTTCCATTTATCCCTCGCAACAGGAGTCAGAACTGCGCTTGAGGCCTGCCTGGACGGCCCCCCTCGAGGCCGACCGCAGCCAGCCTATCAGCTTGGCCACCTGTTTCGCAGACAGACTCGAAAGCTAGCTATATCAAGGAAAAGCATATGATTAGACCGGCTTAGCTGGACATCCAGATCCCAGGAGCGGCTGAGGGCAGTTCGAGAGTAGCGATCCCGCTTCATTGGCCCCGACTGACGGCAGCGGAGTTGGGTGGAGTACATTCTGCGGGCCTCGGACATGGCGGATCTAACTATTGCCTAAACAGGCAATCGACACACCCGACCAACTCACTGATGCACCACATACGGGCACAGGAACTGATGATCGGGACACAATGATGCAGTTGAATGAGCTGTCTCGTCATTGGCGTAACTGGCGGGATCTTTTTGAAGTCCGAAAGCTCAGTATAAAGAAGCTGCTTGCAAGTCTCAGTAGCCCGCGTGTCCTGAGTAGTCTGTCCTCAGCAGGTACTAAATCCTGCTTCTACACTTACAGCATCACCATCTTTCACAATGTCAGACCTTACCATCCCCGAAATCACCACAGCGCTCGTTCTACCCGCTTTCAACGAGCCGCTCAATTTGGAAAAGACCCCGACGCCAAAGACCACACCTGTCGGGTCGGTGCTGATCCGTGTCCTGAGCACTTCCGTCCGGCCACACAACCGGGCTGGCTTTTCAGGAAACAGTCCACTCTCCCTCCCCGTCCCGTACAACCCGGGAGACACCGGCGTCGGACGCGTCATCGCTGTCGGCCCCGATGCGGTAGCCATCAAGCCGGGCCAGCTCGTGTATATCAGCGGCTTTTACCTCGCACGAGACGACCCGGAGGGCACCCGAGTTCTCACCGGCCTTCATGACGGCTTTGGCGAACCAGGCCAGGCCAAGCTGTTCAGGCACCTGGGCGGGCTTTGGAGAGATGTAGCCACAATCCCGCTGGAGAACGCTATCCCCCTAAACGAGAAGCTTCTGGTTGATGAACTGGGCTACTCTTTCGGAGATCTCAACTACATCCAGCGCCTTTCTGTTGCCTACGGCGGCGTCAGCGCTGCCGATCTCCGCGCCGGGGAAACCGTCATCGTGGCACCAGCCACAGGTCACTTTTCCGGTGCCGTCGCCGAGGTTGCCGCCCAGATCGGCTGCAGGGTCATCGCGCTTTCGCGATCGGCCTCCAAGTTAGAGCCGCTCACGAGTCGCTATCCCCGCATCACCGCCTTGGAACTTAGCGGCGATGAAAAGAATGATGTTGCGGCCATCCGAGCGCTTGCTCCCGGCGGTGCGGATGCCTTTATCGACGTTGCGCCGCCTTCTGCCACGGCTTCACCCCATCACCTGACAGTGTCTCTTGGCTCTCTCCGCTCGTTCGGCCGCGCCGTTTTCCTGGGCGCGATGTTTGACTTAAAGATCAACTACATGAGCCTGATGGTTCGTAACATTACCATCAAGGGACAGTACATGTACACCCGAGTGGAGCTGGTGTCTCTGGTCAAGATGATCGAGACTGGAGTAATCAAGCTGGGCAAAGATGCTGGGCATCAGATTGTTGACAGGGGTTTTTCACTAGAAGAATGGGAGGAAGCTGTCACTATTGCTGAGAAGGCTACGAGTTGGGGACAACAAGTGCTAATTTACCCCTAGGAATATTACATAGCTCAATGTGTGTCTTACCAACGACATTCTTGTTCACCCCCTGCATTGGAAACCAGTGTGAAATGTTGACCTGCCTACACGTCTTGACTGGCCGGGTTTGCGGAAACAGAAAGGATTCCGCCCTAGATAGAAATGGGGACAGGGCGCGGATACAGAACGGGAAATAGCCTCACTCAACCTCACGCAATTTAGCATTATTCAGCTGGTAATGCTTTGAATGTTGCCAAGATACAGGCGGTGGCGCAACGCAATCGCTGTCACTGCCACTGCCCACTCGAAAACCCCATTTTGCAAAATATTCCTGATGTCGTGATACATGTCACTTCCAACCACTTTCCAACTACTTTGGATGCGAAGCTGGCGCCACCCATGAGAATGTTTTTCGTGGTGCCTTTGCGCTTCTCTCAGAATAGTTTCGGCGCAGCTGGACGTCGCCGGCCTCCTCGGAGGCGGAAAATACGATGATTTCACAAACCGTTCACGATTCAAACGGGCCGATCACAAGGCCCCGTATGGCTAAGAAAGATGATTGGGCTTTGTGATGGAACCCTCAATATTGCGGCCTAGTCGTTACTCTGCAAATGAAAGTGGGCTCGGATTTCCATGCCTCATCCAGCGAGAACGGTAAGAGCGCCCTCAATCACCCAATGCCCGAGTATAAGAAGGTTTAGTTCTTGACATTATGCTTATCTCCATTATACACTCACCTTACGGACGAATCTAAGGAATAACTTGTGCATCTCGGCGCCCTGGAAGAAGCCTGATCAAATTGTCAAGCGACCTGATTTTCGTCTGCATAGCACACCCTTCATACAAATATTCCATCTTCTTCCCTTCTACCTTTTCTTTTCGTACTCTCAAACTTCCAACACAGAAAACATGAAGCCTCTTTCCATCGCAACTACCCTGGCTGTCCTCGGTGCCTGTGTCGCTGACTGCAATCTTGCTTGCAACGTCCTTGCTGACCTGCCCAAGGAAGTGTCTGGCTCTCCAGAGGCTCTATTGAGCGTCCAGCGCGACACCACCGCCATTTGGGCCAAGGCCTATGCCGAGAAAGACGTCGAAACGCTCGTCAGCTACGTCGTCGATCCTTACATTCAACATAACCCTGCCGCCCCCTCTGGCAAGGCGATCGCCGAGGCTGGCATGAAGATGATTCTTTCCACGCCCGGTCTGATCAACAACGTAACCCGTATTATTTCGGACCTAAATTTCGCTGTCCTTCACACCCACCGAATTCAACCCAACACGACGGACAAAGCCATCGTCGACATTTTCCGCCTGGACGGCACCTGCATCATCGAGCACTGGGATGTGCAGCAGACCATGGCTCCCAGCACAGTCAACCCAATCGCCTACTTTTGATAAAATTCTCAGAAGAACATTGTGGGGAGTGGGGCAAGGAGATTGGCGCACTGCCGTGTCCAACACATTTGACAATCGCACCACTCGCAAGCCTTCACGGTGGGCAATTCCCTGTCTACGTACGCTTGCCGCACAGCGTCTGAATATCTGGAAGTTGCAATTCTTATCGCAGGGAATGAAATAGAAGGTGTCTCATTTGACATCCGTATTGGGTCAGTTTCGAGTGGGAATAATCGTCGAGTTAGCAGCGTTTTGGTCCTCAGATCAGTATCAGATCGGCGAAGATAACAAGGCTCACAAATCTCAAACTGGACCAGTGGCAAATGAATATCTAGAGTGCATAATAAAGTCTATCCTGCGAAATGCTCCCCTCTTACCTTTCAACTCAAAGCCAAAGTAGAAGGCCCTGGGTCTGCCCTAAATCTCCCCGGACGCCTTGTGAGGTTTCAATTTGTTCTACTCGTCGAGTTATAACAACTCCTAAACTACCAAAAAAATCTGCACGTTGAAAGGCCTTCAGCCACCCAAAGAAATTTCTCAGTACAGACCCTCGACTAACATGATCGGATTTTAGCCGCTCAGTCGACAGGTGTGGTTGAATTGCTGTTACCAGTTCCAACCCAAAGCACCTGTCGCTTAGAACCGGCGTAGTCGCCGTTTGGAAACGAAAGTCCTATCGCCGTTGTGGAGCCGAGCCGATGCGGGAGAGTGGGGTCAACCGGCGTTATGTCCACAACGCCGGAATCTCCGGATGGAGCGGGCATTAGAAAGTTATGATCATGACAAGGTTGACCCGGCCCCACAGGTGGTTGCAAGGTCTCGGGAAAGGCAGTTTCGGTTGCTGAATAGCCACAAGCGGATGGCGGAATTGGATATTAGTTGCACGAATTGGCTGCTTTAACATAGGTAAGTATTATGCGATTAGTTGTGTTATTCAACATTTCCGTCTCGGTCTCCTAGTCTGAATTTCAAATCTCCAGTATCTGCATCAATTATCTATTCCAAGGCAAATGTCAGCATGTCTCTCCAGATAGCAGGGCTTACCGTCGAAGTCAAGCCAAGCGTACCTCCGGAACATGAGGCTGCGGGTGTTTACGACAAATTCAACCCGTCGACTCGGAAGCTACCCAAAGGACACCGCCGAACACTGGAGAACAAGGCTTTTGAGGCCGATACAATCTTCGAAAAAGATGTTACAATGCCAATGAGAGACGGCATCAAGCTCTACTGTGACGTTTTCCGCCCCGACACTGCGGAGAAGGTGCCGGCAATTCTCATCTGGAGCCCCTACGGCAAGTCGGGCAACGGTAAGAATGTGACCAGTTCTTGGCACAAGAAGTCCTTTGTTAAGATTCCGAATAGGTCCTCATGGTCTAGGTATGCTGCCCGGCCGTTTCGGTGTTCCAATGTCGGAAGTCTCTGGCTATGAAAAGTTCGAGGGTTTAGACCCTGCCACATGGACGGCGAGAGGCTATGCCATTGTTAATGTAGACCTCCGGGGTACTTGGGACTCCGAGGGCATTACACCGTGAGTAGCCTGTCTTTCCTTTGAACTTTGCCTCGTTTTTTTCCATCATCAAATGTTCACCGGGGTACCAAACTGACTTCGATTATCAAAGATGGCTAGGAGATCAAGATGGCAAAGATGGATACGACGCAGTCGAGTACATTGCCAAGCTCGACTGGTGCACAGGCAAGGTTGCTTTTGGCGGCAACAGCTGGCTCGCCATGGTACAGTGGGTAATCGCAGCCCAGCGACCACCATCCTTAGCTGCGATTGCGCCATGGGAAGGGAACTCGGACTTTTATCGAGACACCCTTTGCCGAGGCGGAGTACCGTACCCATATGATGCCATGTGGGGTTTGTTACAGGACACCATGGTTGGTCGCATGGGAACGGAGGCTCCCATCCCTATGCTGGAAAAGTATCCGTTATACAACGACTACTGGGAGGATAAGAGAGCGAAGTTGGAGAACATCAACGTGCCTACTTATGTCTTGGCGAGCTACTCCAGCGCCCTCCACACCACCGGTTCGATTCGAGGTTACAACCACATTTCCTCGAAGGACAAGTGGTAAGGACTGTGACTGTCTGGCCTGTGAAGTGCATTGCTGAACAATTACTCAGGCTTCGAATCCACCCCAAGCAGGAATGGTCGGATTTGTACGACCCAGAGAACGTCAATGACTTGACAAAGTTCTACGACTACTTCGTCAAAGGGAAGAAGAACGATTGGAAAACCACGCCTCCTGTGCGGGTTTCACTCTTAGGTTTCAACAAAGTAAGTTTTGGAAGACATTTGAGTGCCTTTAAACGAAGAACGCTGCAAAATCTAACTACAACATGCAGCCTAGTGTTGTCAATATTCCTTTTCCGTCATACCCAGTCCCAGAGTCTGCCGTTGCAAGGACTAAACTCTATCTGGGACATGGCAAGAGACTCGAATTAGAACCATCCAAAACCGCCGAGACTGCATCCTATGACGCAACTTTCTCTCCCAAGAATGGGCCTCTCCAGGGCGATGAGGAGCTGTTCTTCAGTTACAAGTTTACCAAGGAGACTTGGCTGCTAGGGTATTCGTGGATTGTCCTCAACATAGCCAACGAAAGTGAAGACGATATCGACGTCTTTGTGCAACTCGGAAAATCCGATGCCTCCGGCCAGCAGCTCATCCACATGAACGTACCCTTGGAAGATTTGGTACCGCCTGCCAAGAGCCCCTCTGAGGTGGCGGATTCGTGCTTCCTGAAGTATCTCGGGCCAACTGGTGCCCTCCGAGGGAGTCATGCAATCACCAAGGTGGAGAATGCCAACAAGTTTAGCGGAGACTGGCCCGAGTACACCAACACTTCAAAAAAGGCCATTCCTGCTGGTACAGTCACCAAACTCGAGATTCCCATTTGGCCGACTGGAATTACCTACGGACCTGGTGAGTCGTTGACTGTCAAGATCTCAGGGCATTATATGAGCTATATGGAGTTTCCTCACTTGTATGGCGCCTCTCATCGGAATAAAGGACGCCATACCATTCACTTTGGTGGTGATACTGAGAGTTATCTTGTTCTCCCATTAACGGATCCGATCTCTAAGTAGGTAGGCATATATATTTGAACTGAATGAGACTTTCCTCGGTGCGACTCTTCATCAGATAGCTAAAGTTCGTCGAAGGATGGATTTTCAATCAACGGTGTATATTTTGAGCGATCCTGTGTTTGAATGAACCAGTGTCGAGTGTCGACTTGACCCTCATTGATTAGTTACGCATGTTAAAATAAAGAAGCTTGGCGTTAAGAAGTCAATAGGCCGTAGCGTTGAAGCTTTTCTTAAGCCAGTAAGAAGAAATGATCCATGACGGTAATGGAGTGGTAAGTTTCCCGTGCCCGTTGTAGTCAGATGGCCCATAGAAACTATTCAGAGTTATCAAGAGACATCGCATTGAAACAAGACGTGATTAATGAAAGATATTTTAGATCCTAGAGTGGATGACAGAAATTCCCAGAATGCTTCGAAGCGCGTATTCCAATACCCCCTCATGATTGTCTTGTCTCGCGATTGCCCTCCATGCGATAAAACCATCGGGCCGAATCAGAATGGCTTCACCAGCTCGCAATCTACACTTCGCCTCGATCAATCCAGATGCGTCTCTATATGGGGCAGATTGCGTGTTCAAGACAGCAACGTCGATCTCGACTGTGCTAATCCTTTTTGCCGCGGGGACCCACGGCGAATCCGGCTGAGTGGTGATCATCAAGAAGTTCTTTCGGACAAGATCCAATGTCGAGATTTGTCTACCCGGTATTCCAACGTCTTCCAGGAAGACATGGGGAAATCTTGAACCAGGCAAAGCCGTTGGGCAGTGCGGATCATCGTAAAGCTCATCGGGCTGATGATAGCTTTCCTCAGGGACGAATGCCCCACTTGGGTAGCGGTAGCCCAGCTCCACTGAGACGTCAGAAGCCTCTGACGCCGGTGGTTGTTGGAGTGCGACCCGATTCTGAAAGCGAGCAGTTGCTTGCTTGACGGTAAACTCGTCAATGGGTTGCCTCTCTTTGTTGTATGAGTCCAGGAGCGAGGATGAGGCCCTTCCAGTCAAGACGTAGGCCAGTTTCCAAGCTAAATTGTGAGCATCCTATACGCGCGTGTGTCAGTCTTTGGAACTCATCAAGATTAAGAGGCTTACCGCAATGCCCGTATTCCCCCCCAGCCCTCCGGTTGGCGGCATAACGTGAGCAGAGTCTCCAGCAAGGAACACGCGGCCGGTCTTACTAGCCATTCGATCGGCAGTATAAGACGCCATTGTCCAGTAATTCACAGTGTGCATATCGACGAAGACCTCATCCGGTCGAAGCCCCGCGCAGTCGTAAAAGCTCTTTCTGGCTTCCTCGACAGTCACACTGCCAGGAGGAAAGTCTGACCTTTCGCCAACGCTGTTTACCATCAGAAGGCCTTGTCTGCCCCCATCATCCAAACGGAAACCTCCGTTGATTTTATCATTAGCAACGTAAACGACGCCATGAACCAGTCTTTCTTTGACAAAAGGACCTAGATCAGATCTGAAACCAACACTGAAGCTGTTGCGCAGAACGCCTGGCCCTTCCCACCTGATGCCTTCTTTATGACGAGTCGGACTCCGGTGGCCGTCGCACGCAACTAAGTATGGTGTCTTGTACTTCCTTGTCTTGTTTGTCTTATGGTTCTTGACAACGACGATAACACCATCTTCGTGCTCCTCATAGCAGAGGACCTCGTGGCTGTAAAGCTGGGTACTCCCGAAATCACTCGCATGCGAACCAAGGATGGGTTCAAACATGCTTTGCGCCATCCAGATCCAAGATGACGGCGTAATTTGCTTCGTGATATCTGGGTCGTGCTTCTGGAGGACTTGAATGACATTGCCACCAACGAGCTTGTCTGCAAGAAGCATCCCGGCACTTGAATCGAATTGCTGACTGCTTTGCTCGCGGGCAAAGCTTTCCAGCCCGATCTGTCGAAGGATTTCGCAAGTCCGGAAATTTAGCCCCGCTGCGCGAGGTTGAGAACTCTCGGATGCGTGTCGATCAAAAGAGACCGATTTGATCCTGGTAATGATTAGCTCCTCCTTAACCACGACAATCACAATCGCAGTTTATCACCCATGGTATCCCAATAGTAAGCCCAACACCTTTCCCACCATGCTCGACCCGATTATGATTACGGGCCATTCTTCTTTCTCTAGAGGTATGTTGGAATGATCCATGTCGATGAATCGATCCCTCTGTAGATTCCCCTGAGAAAAGGTATCATCTTGTTTCTCGAAGGCGTTGGTCATGATTGCACCCTCAAATTGTTGCGTTATTGACTGGGATCACATGAATCGGTGAAGCCGCTAGGGACAAAGTCTTCTCGGATTTCAGCCTTTGCTTCCAGAAATTAGCATGAGACAATTCCTATCAACGTAGAAGGCATACCCAAACGTTAAGACCGCTATCTCCGGGCGCTATGGGAGAATTGCCATGGCTTCACCAAACCACCTCGGAACACTGCATTCCGTCGGTCGGGCCGTGGTGGAGTGCCGATGTCCCCACCTCTTCCGGCATTCGTGGACTGACAACGGCCCCACGGCAAGGGCGAGATGGAACCGAGTCATCTAGCTCCTTCGATAGTTCTGGGTCAAAGTGGTTCAAGAGTTCGCCTCGGGCTGTTGCGACGATGCGTCTAAGCTAACACACCAGTATGATCTGTAGTATCCATCACTAACGCATGCTGAACCGCGCGCCTACAGGTGGTATTTTCTGATACATCTAAGTCCAAGAAGTATCAAGCATTGCGAACTTTACAAAGAATAAATTGTGCTTTTAGCTTCGGGAGGTACTTCAGAATAAGACCATTCCAACTTCTTCACAGCATGAATTCATATTGAAGTAGTCGAATTCTAACGAGGGGGCCTTGGGAATTGAAACCCGTAGCGAAGTGGTTCCAGAACTGTGTATTGCGCCACAAAAATCTCACTCATCACTATAAACAGACGCAGAAGTCGATAAAATTCAAATCCTTGCAGCAGGTCCATAGCTCGCCCCCAAATCTTCTTCCAAAGCCCTTCGAGCCTCGAGCGTGGCATACGAACTCCACGTGTACTCAAACATGTTTTTCGGGAGGCGAGCATCGGGAACGTATCGTTGGAGTTCTGGCATCTTCTCGGCACGTCTGTCGTCACTGGTGCTTGACATGACCATGACAGTGATTGTGCGCGCATATCTGACCTTGTTGAACAGCTGTAGTCTTCGATTAACCTGGCTGGGCAAGGTGTCGTATGGCAATAGGGCACCCAAAGCCGCACCATCTTCAAGCGCTTGTGCGCCACCCTGGCCTTGATCTTCGTTTTACCATCAGCAAGGTCTCGATAATGGAAGCTGTGACAAGACATACGAGGAAGCATTGGATGGGCTGCATCACCAACCAAGACTGTCTTGCCTCGGTAGAATGTCTTTGGGGGCTCACGTGTTGCCAGGCTCCAAAGTTTCAAATCCTCTCCCAGGCGACACATCTCAATCAGCTCCGGTCCAAAGTCTCGGTATGTGTGCAGCAAATCTTCCATATTCCCCCCCGAGAGCCAGGAAGATTCGGTCTCTAGGCTATCGTTCTCAGCAGGATGGATGGCGACAACATTAAGGAGAGTTTTGGATCGGCAGGGGTAGACAACCAAGCGCCGATCGGCTCCCAGAAAGACATGTTGATCATCCAGACCCAAATCCTCGAAGAAAGGCCTCGCTAGAGGGCTAGCGTTGATCTTGTCCATTGAGACCAAGAATCGGAAGGTATTCTGTCCTGTAGACTTGCGCTTCGGCTGCTCTAGCGTCACCGCAGAAACGACTTTCGACTGATCAATCGTATATGCGTCAGTGATCATTCCAAAACGGAACGCGCAAAGTGGCCTCGAAACGCACATGTACCCCATCAGCACCGATAAGTAGATCAGCCCTGTACCTAGTGCCATCTTCCAAGAGAATTTCGGCATTTTCGGAATCCTAGGCGTCGAAAACGTGGTTAACTATGCAAACACCGAGAGGACAAGGAACAATCGGCAGGCGAGAGGAGGCGATAAAACTTACAGCCCATACAACACGGCTATGAAGATTGATATTGAGGTTTTGCCCGTAGGGCTCAGTATCAGCTAGCTTCCGAAGGGTATTGTGCAAATCGACTCGGTGAGTCAAGAGCCACTCGTCACGAATATTGAGCTTTTGATGCATATCCTTAGTGGCCTACGAACGTTCACGTTTGTTAGCTCTTTCTACGTGTTATAATTGAAAGCTTACAATGGCGACGAATCTGGAGTTGCCCGACTTATCGTAAGCCGTGATGCTGTTGCAGTAAACGTAGTTCAGGTCGTTGAAATCGCATCCCCATCCTTTCAATACTCGAGAGCCGTTCGGCGGAAGGTGGATCGCAGCACCTATCTCGTTGAGAAAGGTGGATTGCTCGAACAGCTTGCAATATCACGTTATTCATTACTATGATTCAACACTGAATTAATGTACTACCTACCTCAACATGATGACCTTGACGCGTCAAAGAGATGGCGCACGCAAGACCCCCAATTCCAGCACCGACGACGATGATGTTAAGAGGCATTGGAATGTTCGACGTGGAAACTCTCTTGGAGTGAGAACTTGGCAAATGGAACCAAGGGTTCGAGTAAGATAGAGGAGAATTTGGTATTGTATAGAACCTGCACATATGCACCTTAGCAAGACCATGCGTACTTAGTATTCTTCATAGGCTACAGGGAAAGGTCTATTGCTACCTATGCCACTTGGAAGGCCTACTCTCGCCTTACCAATCGTATTGCATGTCTGTCAACTCCTCGGGGCGTCATTCCATAGACTGATTGCAGTGACAGAGGTGAGTGGGTGGTGAGCATAAGGCGCTCGGCCCCGCCACTGCACCTCTCTTGGGTACACGAGTGCCAACGACCCCCGCTCGGCATCCCCACAAAGCCGATGATATCACATTTGCCCATGGAACGAGGCATGAGATGTTGCCATTGGAAAGTCTAAGCGGCATCCACAGTCAACCTGAGAAATTCTGCTAACTTCAAAACCGCAGCAGGGAGACCATTCGTCTGCTTTAGATAAACTTTGGCGTTTGGAACTTGTGCCTCAGCTTCTTAAATTTGGCATCAACCAAGATTTCAAATATACCCAAGAATTCTGTTTTCAACTCCACTGTCCAAAATGGTTACAGAAAACGAAATCACGACGATGTTCGAGCCACTTGCCAGAGGCGACATGGCATCCTTCCTTGCCAACATAGAGCCTGATGTGGACTGGACGGTGAAAGGTTAGTGCCAAAGCTTTAATTCAAGTCCATAGATAATTCTCTAACAAGGGTTGACAGGGGCACATTGTAAGATATCCGGCCACTATAAATCCCTAGCGGCATTTCAGGAGGGGACAAAGCCTCTATCCGCAACTTGGGCTGGGCCATTGCACCTCGAGGTGCAGAACATTATTGTCAGTGGGAACCAGGCGGCTGTAGAGCTGAAAGCAGTCAAAACTCGGATCAAGAATGGACAACCGTTCCCCAATGAGTATACTTGGATCCTTGGGTTTAATGAGAAAGGCAAAGTCGCAACTGTACGAGCATATATGGATACGTAAGTAACCCCGCTGTGTGTGCGTCCGTTTGCTTGCATTCTGGTGCTGACTGCTTTTTCACAGGGATCTTGTAACCCGTGTAATTGACTCTGTGGCTGCCTGAGAAGACGCATCCGGATCAAGAGTCACTTGCTGAGACTAGGTAGTGTGGTCGGTGTGACCTAGTGTGCATATACTTGGGCTTGTGTAGGAGAAAGGGATGATAAAAAGCTGACGCACTCTCTCTCACTGGCTCTGCTTCAAACCTGTTAGATCCTATCAATGCCCACCTTCAATTATCTGATTAGCAGTAGACATCTCTCGACGATCCGTTTGTTACGATCTAGTGTACTCAGGGCTGGCTCAATGTGATGTCGCCTTCAGTTCCACTCGGGTTTCGGCCTTCTGATGCTAATGGACAGCGCCCCACGGCTGGATTTTGTTATTTACAACAGGCGCATGTCGTTCTCAACATGGGAAGAGTCATGATGATCACCAATGGAGCCACTAACAGGCTATCCGGTCCGGCCATTTGGTTTGCATTTGAACTAGTCAGACAACACTCCCCTAGCAGGATAATACGATCTCGGAAGCAGTATATATGTAAACCCCAGCGCGATTACCCAGGACAGTAGCTAGACTGAGTTCCATTTTCATAGGACTAGATGACAACTAGTCCCCTAACTGACGACGTGAAAGACTACTCCATCCGTCCAATAACCAGTTGCCAGTGTCGTTCTGCTATCTATTGCTTTATCCTATCATTCCTATCCTCTCTTGGGCAACATATCGATAGGCACTCCCTTCTCCGTGATGTCCATGCCATCCTTGGTTTTCTTCTGTCCTGGGAGGAGAACGAATATGATGCGAGCAGGCTTGTCTGAAACATTGTTCCATTGATGCATTGTCTTTGGTGCTCGATTAGCAACATGTCAAATATGGCGAATGGGTCACCTACTGCCTGTTGAACGACAATATCTCCCGCCCGTAAGTTAGTTCGCGATCCATCTTCAAGCAGTAGCTCCAGCTCGCCCTCCATGACTATACCATAATCAAGAGAAGCCGTTCTATGATTATGTCCCTGAGAACGTGGAGGAAACTCGACCGCGCGGATTAAAGATCCGTGGGTGTAGATGATCGGCACGGCGTCGGGTTTTTCGCGCTGGTACTCGGCGGGATATTCGTGGTTTTTCCATATAGTGACGGCCTGGCTGCCCCACCCATCCTCGAACTGAAGCTCCTCATTTATCAGGATCGAGGACTTCTCGTTCTTGTGGTGGGTTACAATACGCCGGAAAGGAGTCTTGGCTTGGTTATCCTTTGTTCCGATGTATGGCCAAAATCCCATTGTGTTGATATGATAGTTTGACCTTGGTGATGATATCAGGAATCTGGGACAGGATGTCTTGCTGTCGTCTGCAGTGCTTCCGTACTTCTTCGTGTAGGAATCACTAATATGGGCAGGATGGGTTTGGACGTGGGCCACTTCCACTTATTCTACGGCGATGAAAACCTCGAAAGGATGTTGAATCAGTCGAAACCGTACCAAACGTATTCCTTTCTTGGGTCGGCTCCCCACACGGCACCGCCGGCACGTTCTTCTCAGTACCGGGCAATGCATCGAAAGCGTCATATGGATGGATAAGGTTGAGATGCATGAAATGCCGCCCCGCATGTATCAGTGTGGGGGGTATTCAGACTATTGGGGTCGGCTTGTTAACGCTGCGATGATGATGAGAATGATTGGTACTTAGCTACCGTGGATTTGAGGTCTCAAAATATGCTACATGATATGTCTCATTTGACCTGATTCGGACAATGCCAGTGGCGCTCGATATTCACAAGAGATACTACATTTACTGCAATCAGGAACATATGCAGTTGGGAAGAGGATAGACATTTCGCGTTTTACATTTTCAATGTTCAGTAACCATACTGTCCTTGCTACATATCAAATAAAAAGCCGTGGTCGTACATTTTACGGCCGCTTGAGGAAATTCTGGATAACACGCCGAACAGCTACTGAAGCTCCAGTGATTGTAAGCAGTCCAATAGCCAAGCCTATGAGTAGGCCTCGCTCAAAGTAACTGAGACGTCCACCTTTCGGTTGTTTGATCTTTCCCAGCGGCAGAGTGTGAGCGATCACTGGCCACAGCACATTCCGTCCTGATGATGGTTTCGGCGAAGCCTTTGGCGCCCCCTGCCGAATCGGCTTATTGAAAGAAAAGGCCTCGGGAGAGTACCAGATTTTGTCTGATTTCGATTGCGATGAAGGCGATGTTTCGAAAACTGGATGGACAGATTAGATTAAAAAGCCCTGCCGACCCTTTTGAGTACCGTCTTGATCTTACCTAGGGACCACTGAGGCACTTCGTTAACACAGACCTGCAGCGTCTTTACGAACGAACCAACGTAGAGACCGGCTTTACCGTCACCAAAAGCATATACTATCTCGGAGGGCGCAGCTTTGTTCCTGTGTCTACAAGTCAGCAGGGATATTGGAGTCTCCTTAGAATGATCATTTTTCAACTTACAGCTTATTCAAGATGTCAATGCCATGATCCATGCTACTGATTGGAACGAGCAGGATTCCACCATGGCTCTTAGCCATTGACTGAGCCACGGCACCAATGCTGTCTACTGTAATGGATCTAAGAGTTAGAAGGTTAGCTAGACTGTTGGGGAAGTGAAAACTCTCGAATAGGTTCACTCACTCTGAAGATTCTAGAGCAATAACTGAAGCGAATGTTTCTTGGCTGATTGCCTTGTTCACTAAAGAGGGTAACACTGTTTGAAGGAGTTTGCAAAGCTGTTGCGTCTTCTGCCAATCTTTGGCAACCTCAAGGCGGCGAATCGAGGCTGGGCCAGCTCGAACAAGGTAGCTTTCTAGGTCTTTCGCCTTCGATTCGTCTACGAAGCAAAGCCGAGGTACTCTGGAAGGATTATGACGAGGCGCGCAAAGTACTGCGTGGTAAAGATGTTTTGCGACTGCCTCAACGTCACGCGTGCTGCGATCCACAAAGACCGCGGGGAATCCAGTTGCTGGTGAATGGATTCTGATGGTGGGATTGGTCATGAAGAGCCCATTCCGCAGATCATTCCAATGACTCGAATTCTGGAGGACAGCAACCTCGAAGCGCATCGAACAAAGTTGCTCACGAGTATCGCTAGAATCGTCGGGGGCAATTGCCACGGCTTCAACGTCCATACTTGCTGAAACGATTCTTCGCAGCTCCGTATTGAGAATAGGGAACCCAGAAAGAGCCAGCACCAACACCGCACTACCAGCTGCTACGGCGGCAGCTAGCGGAATGAGGGTGCTTGCAACCGGTACAAACGGGTTCGCGTCGATCAAAGTCGGGCCAAGAGGAACGCTGTTATCCATGTTACTGGAACCTTTTCTCACCGCGGCTTCTTTCGTGAGCGTCGCTGGGAAGTCAAGGACATCGTAATGGTGTTTGATATTTTCGAGAACCAGTTGAAGCTCTGCAGCCGCGCTTTCTTCGCTGGACTTCAATTCTGCGGGCAAAACAATGTTAATGGTCTGGGAGATGAAAGAGCTAGACTTTTTCAGCTACCTTGCACAATGGTTGCGACCAGTTGTTTGGACGACTTTTTGACGTTGCCATGCAGTAAGGCAAGCTGCTTTTGGCGCTCGAGAACATTTTCAAGCCGCCCCTCGTTCCACGCTGCGTGGACAGCGCTGTACAAATTCGCGACTGACGCCATGATGTGGAGGATGCTAATTTCTTGTTTTTGTTCAAGACGATTCTCGATACATTGCAAAAGAAGAATATCTTGTGCGGCTTTTGTGATGTCACACGTGCTGACTGTTGGGAGTATCGGCAAGCTCACACAGAGAGATCGGCTAGCTCACACAGAGAGATCGGCTCGGCTCCACGCGCCGCCCAGGCGACCGTAGGAACCATGCAGAAAAAACACCGGTTACTGCAAGTCTACTGAAGTAAATTGGACTGGTCCAAGAAAATGACAACGCGGCGCAACGCGCATCTCCCAACGTTGTCTCTTATCTTCGACAATCTAAGATTGAAGTCCATATTTTTTTTCGACTCCTCTAGCGACATCAGTCGTGTCTTTCTTCATACAATCCAACATGGGCAGTCTACCAGCGGAAAAGGGTATGGCACAGAAGGACTTGTCCTCACCTAAACATGATTTACTGACCTCGTGTGCTCTACAGCACCCACTCCGGTGTTCCTCTTCGCCCATGGATCAACAATGATGCTTGGTGAAGATTCTGAACCAGCTCACATATGGGAAAGCGTTGGCGACGAAGTTTTGAGACGTGGGATCCAAAGAATTGTAATCATGGTAATATCTCCGATCCTAAACGTGTGCTACGGCTGATATATGTCTTCGCATATCACAGGGAGCGCATTGGGATGCTCCTGGTGATGCCGTAGATGTGAGCATGAACCCGAATGCGGGCAAAGACCCGGTGGGAGGCGTGAAAGACTCAAGGTGGATGCCTTACAAAATGGTACCAGACATAGAGGGAGGCCAGAAGGTCATCGACATGCTGCGGGAAGCTGGTATCAACGCTCGGGCGAACCGCAAGTACGACTGGATCCACGACGTTTTTCTCATCATCATACGGATGTTTCCTCACTGCGTACCTCCACCAGTCACTGTGGTCTCAGCAAATGCAAGATATGACCCGCACTTGCACATCAAAATTGGCGCCACTCTCCGTCCTCTGCGTTACCAGAACACGCTCATCATTGGCAGTGGAGGCTCAGTTCACAACCTCTTTCGGAACCACTGGCAATGGATGATCCGGTTCAAAGACAATTTTGCGCAGCCCGTTCCGCCAGAGCCCTTCGCGTTGGAGTTTCGACAAGCGCACGAAGACGCAATCATGAGAAACACGGGACCTGATCTTCGAAGAGCGGTCACAAGATTGATGAAACACCCGCGATACAAAGAGGCGCATGGAACAGATGATCACTATATGGCGACGCTCTTTGCTGCCGGGGCTGCCGGAGATGAGAAAGATGTGGGCCCGCACATGTTGTTGGGGGAATGTTGGGAGTTAGTCAACATGTGCAACACCCAATATCAGTTTGGTTCCTGGGACTAGGCTATCAAGAATTTCAACAAGGATGTGTGCAAATTACGTTTTCATCAGTCAATTGTACTTCCAGAAGGTTGCAGTAGCACTGGATTCAAACCAATGAAAACAAATCATGACTTTGAATGCTCGGGATACAGACGCAATTATCACAGAGAAACTCAAGTTTAAATACCACGGATATAAAACACCATCCGCCGAGACACATAATGAATTTGAACGCGTAAGCCTAGGGCTTACACGAGCTCCTCCTGCCGTCTTTTGATCCTTTTCTTGCTGTTCTCCCTGTTCATTATTCTGCTTCCACTCCACACGAACTCCTATGATCTTCTAGTAAATATTTCATCGTCCTCACTTCAATGAAAACACGTCGTGGGCAAGTCATGCATACCGCGACAAGTCTAGGCTCTATAGCGAAAAATGCCCCGGCTACGCATCGTCGACCACAGGCTCGAAATACTATTTGGCTGCGAGCCAGCCCTGAGAACTCCAGACATGTAGGCTTCATGAATAGTTGACTGTGATGCGCGAATATAAGAACAGGTTGATCTACCACTCTCCCCCTACTCTTGATTTACCAATATCGGTGATCCTGCCCGCAGTATTCCGCCAAACGTAAGACCACCCCTTGCAATTCTGTGAGCTTTTGGGATTTTATCGTACGCTAAGGTATGGATAATGAAGCACAATCATTGACTCACCGATTGAAACCAGCATCCTCCCACCATGATTGCACCGACAAAAGCGAAAACTGCTCCTTGTTGCCGATCACTTAAGTCCAGTTCTCTGTTTACTGGACGAAAATCAGGAACGCGTCGATAGCTACGATCCCACCAGTCAGGGTTTGACACTGGATAAGGTACTGGCGGATGTGAAGCCAGCGTGGGGTCAAAATCACCCGGCTGGCGCTCCCGCCGGACGCCGCCAGCAACTGTGATTAAAGAAGAATTTTCGTCGGGGTCGTCGCCTGGCGAAGCAATCGAACGATGGATTTCGTAGTCAGAAAGGAGCCTCGTGGTCTCTGAATCAAGTCTAAGCTCTTCAGCTCGCGAGGAGTTTATGGTAGTTGCTATGACAGTTGCCATTTCGCCGTTGAGGATTGGCATGTGGGTAGGCAACGGTCGTGTCCAAGGTTTAAAGAGGAAGCAATGACCTCGATACGAAGAAATGGGCAATTTTTTGCGTCAGATTCCAGTGACCTATCCCGTGACATTGCGGATCGCTTCGGCGAGACTTAGCGTAGGTGCTGAAGTGTGCTTTGGTGCGGTCCCGAGCCGACCGACTCAAACGCAGCTGTGGTGGAGAAGCCGAACACAAGCCGGATTGAACCCCACCTGGCCCGACAGCGTACCAAGGCCGGTCAAGGCATTTGGATCAAGACTCCAAGCTCTGAGTGACGATGATATTCTCACCACAACCATGACATGGCATCTAAATCGTGACAAAATCCAGCCTCTCTATTGGTAGAGATAGCACTCAACGACGCAGATATTCTGCCATATTCTGCCAAACTCACAGTATCTTTACCCACTAGCTAAATCCAAACTACAAACAAAATGGCGGAAAACAAGTACCTTGAGGTCGACAAAGACAGTTTCCCGTATGTCTTCATGAAGAATGTGGACTTGCCACTGCGAACCTATCAAAAGGGTTTTTTGAGATGCAACGTCTACTTGCCCAAGGACGCTGCGCCCTTTGGTCCCGAGAGATACCCAGTCATTGCGACGTACGGACCATGTAAGTATTCGCGAACAATGCACAATCTTCGAAGTTTCAGGTACTAACTTAGGGAAAAGATGGTAAAGACGTCCCGTACAGCGTATTCCACAAGAAGAGCTGGGATCAGTTGAATCCCGAAATGAAATCTCACCACGCGTCATGGGAGACTCCGGACCCAGGCTTCTGGACAAGCAAAGGATACATCGTGGTTAGAGCCGACGAGCTTGGCGCTGGTCAAAGCCCTGGACTCCTAGACACCATGTCGCGCGGTACTAGCGAGGCGTTTTTCGACGTGGTCGAGTGGTGCTCTGAGCAAGAGTGGTCATCTGGTAAAGTCGGCCTCCTCGGAATTAGCTACTACGCTGGTACACAATGGCGAGTGGCAGCGCGGAAGCCAAAGGGGCTGGCCGCCATGATCCCATGGGAAGGCATGAGCGACTACTATCGCGATAGAGTCCGACACGGCGGGATCCTATCGGACAAGTTCATTAGTAAGTCTGGCTCTGTCGTCGTAACGACTGAATTATTTGCTAATAAAGATGGACGCAAACAGAATTCTGGTGGGAAAATGGCGTTTCGCCGAATCAGTACGGGAAGCCCGGCCGCGCCGCCCGAAACTGGGGTGACGACACCATCGACGGTGACTTGGATGAAGACACCCTTCGACAGAACAGACGAGACCAGACGGTCGATACCGCGGTGCACAGATTTCGGGACGAAGAATACTATCGGACTCGGGATTTTGATGTGGAAGCCATCGAGACGCCCTTGCTGAGCGTGGCAAACTGGGTAAGTGTATTCCCAAAACGGTCCTAACTACATCTACATGGAGAATGCTGACCCTGTGATGAGGGTGGTATACTCCTGCACTTGCGAGGAAATGTCTTGGGCTGGATGCGTGCTAGCTCCAAGTACAAGTTTCTCCATTTCATTGTGGGAAGACATGATCTCCCGTTCTACTATCCTGAATCCGCTGCGATTCAGCTGTCCTTTTTCAATGCCTTCTTAAAGGATAACGATGCAGATGGTTGGAAGACTGGGGGTCAGCCCAGAGTTCAACTTTGTTTACGACAAGGCGAGGCCGGGGTAGACGACCCTGAACGAGAGCGTGGATTTCCACAGAGACATGAGAATGACTGGCCTCTGCCTGGAACCCAGTATCAAAAGTTCTTCCTTGCTGCATATCAGGAACTAGCGATCCAGCCTTCGGAGACTACTATGTCTGTGTCGTACGATGCGATGGATGGGTAAGTGTCGACTTCAACCGCAGTCTTTCAGGAATACTGACCAATATTTTTAAGTGATCCTATCTCTTTCCGATACAAAACACCCACAACCTTAGAAATCACTGGTCACATAGTTGCCCACCTGACTGTATCTGCTTCTCGAAAGCCAGCCATAGATACCCTGCCTACAGATATTGACCTCTTCGTTACTCTCCGAAAGATCAACATCAATGGTCAAGAAGTCTTTTACACCGGAACCATGGGCGACCCTGTACCCATAGTCAAGGGTTGGTTGCGAGTTTCACAACGGCTGGTAGACACGAGTCATCATTTTCACCGAGACTTTATGCCGTATCGCAACTATCACAGCACAGATATCCAGCCTGTGAAGGAGAATGAAAAGTATGCTGTTGAAGTTGAGGTCTGGCCCACTAATGTTGTCCTCGAGCCTGGGGAAACACTTGTGTTGGAGATTGCTGGTCACGATACTCAGGGTGTTGGAAACTTTTCCCACGGCCACGCCAAAGACCGTGACGAGAAGACATTCACCGGCATAAACACTGTTCATATCGGAGGGGAAAACAGCTGGCTTTTACTGCCTGTAATCAACTCAGAAAGATAGTATGGCTTCTACTAGAACGAGATAGACGTCTGTCAAATAGCCCCTATCGCCGTTCCAAATATTTCTACAAACATCAACCGCAACGTTGTCAAGGTTCGTGACATCGGCGATGTTGTGCTGATTACGCTATTGCAACATACGTATGCAAACAAAACAGTAGATACAGAAACGTGCTGTAACTATCTAGATTTCTCCAATTTCTTTTCACCTCCAGCAATCCTGGCACATCATGAGTGACGAAAAAGCCAACTCACATCCTCTCACATTATGACGATGGCTCACTTGCACGCAGCCGTGTGAGTAGCTGAGAGTATGTCGCACTTATGCCCCACCCCTTGAGAGACCTCATGGACAGGATGGCCTCATCCAGAAATTTCCTTCGCCCCTGAACATTACACAAATTACCAACACCAGGCATTTTGATCTGACTCCATCCGTTCTCAACCCAGCTGGTGTCGGACATATCGCGTCGCGCCTTCGGACCGAGCACCACGACTGGGCCCAACGATAAGAGGAGCAGGCCATCAGGGCATCTCTGAGCGAGCTTGGAGTAGATCCAGAGAATGAAAACAGCGCTGAGTAGCGAGACTGGTGCTCCAAAGTGCGGACAGTGGCTCGACCGCGTCACATGTATAATTCGTGCGGCGAAATAGCACGCCAACCTAGCTTGTCTCCCTGATTCCCTCCATAGCTGAGCTGCTTGCGTCCACTCCTCGTCTTTGAACTTTCCATAGATAGACTTGACTACAATTGGAAGAATCTTGGAGGTTGGGGTGTTGTGAAACATCAGCCCGGTCAAGGCCATTAATTGGTGAGTGGTGACGGATTTGAGCTCATCGACGGCTTGGGCAGTTTGCTCACTCTCAATCATGTTTAGCAGATCGTTCAACACCTCGACTGCGGAATCTGTGTCAGTGGGTGCATCTGTACTGCATATGATGTCCGTCAGTCGTTGAAGGATGACTTGTTTGCCGATGGTATTCGTTTTTGTCCAGGCAGACTTCCAGCAGTTATTCGTCACGACCTGATCGATGGTAAACACTCCATGTGAGCCGTTGTACTCTGAGATTAAAAATTAGTTTTCTGAACACTTGAACGTTTTCTCTTTGAAGAAAGAGGTACCGAGGACGTTGGAAAACCCAGCCCAACTTTGTGCGTTAGCAGCTGCCCAACGATCATCAGGCTGCGGCAAGGGAATTTGTAGTTCCGATACCCTCACCAATCGACTGAGTTCGAAATTAGAAGCGAATGCAGCATCTAAAAGCTGAGTAACCTAGGTGTCAGTCTCGTCGACGTGCATGAAATCGGCATGCGAGGTGCTACCTACCCAAACCGAGAATCCCAGCCGTCTTCGTTCCTCATCTAAGACCCATATCTGCCATTTATGCGTGAGTGGCAATTGGAGCTGAGAAAACTTTTGCATGGGCAACAAGTTATTAAAGAACCCCTTCCGCCTTGCTAGGGTGATTGGCAGCGCTTGCGTGATCTCTGCAACCTCCAAAGACCGCCTGTCGCCGTCGTACATCAAACCCACGCGGTTGAGGACAATGGTCTGAAGCATCCACAGCTCACGACTCATGTAGTTCTCCCTCTCGCACTGCTACTAGTCAGAAACTCTGAACTTGCGACGTGCATCAATGGGTTGATTACTTACCATAGCAGCTGACTGCCGACGAACCAGTTCGTGCATCGCCCTCGAACATCGGCGGGCGTCTGGAATATTTGAAAATTGAGCACCCACTGCAGCCACAGCAAACATGAGAAGCCAGTGACGCTTTTTTGACGTAAAAGAAGGCTTGTGTAGGATGGGAAACACAGGATGGAAGAATTCAAAGTAGAGCTGCATCCAAGCATTGAGTACCGGCCCAGGGGGGATGCGAAGCTCTATGAAAGGGGGGAAGCTCGGTTTTCGTTGCATATCTGTGGCGTATCCAATGACCCGTTCCACGGCTTCTTGTGGGAGTTCGTCCACGTGGGCAAGATCTTCCTCGTCGATATCTTGCGTTCCGAGTTGGGACATATCAGGGAACACAAGCGGAGCATCCATTTCAATTGAGACGGGGTGATAATGCTTGAGCTCGACGGCATCTTGATCGATGGCAGGCGTGTGACTACGGCTGTATAGCTCTGTCACTGCGCCTTGGTCCATCATCTGGTCTGAAGAAGGCGGATTCCGGGAGGCTGTGATATGGGGTGGTGCGACTGTCGGTCTCTCCATCTGTTTGTCATATGCCATATGAGCAGACGGGTTGCTTGGCATAATATAGGGAAGGAAGTTTAGATCGGGGTTATAATCGAGCCAGTTGGTTGGCTCATCATAGGTGCCTAGCATAATCGAGGGCGTAGGTACTGTGTCGGCCGTATCTAGGTCGAGAAACAGACCCGTTCCCTCGAGCAGCATATCGAATCGAATGGGAGGCTCTTGATGCTGAACGGCATCCGTTTCTCCGCTGGCGCAATTCAAGTTGGGGTCACCGTCTGTTTCTTCAAGAATCACGGGCTGGTCCCTTGACCTGGTGGACTGTCCATCTCCGATGTAGTTGCTGGCCAATGGTCGGTCGTCGGGAACAGTCACTGGAGGTGACGGTGGAATGTGTCTGTCATCAGCTATCCCGTTGTTTGTGGCGTCGCCATTAGACTTATCGCTGCTGTCATTCTCGTTGTTCATTCGTGGTTGTTTCGGACCAGGTCTGTTCGAGTGGGCTTCCGACGCACGCCTCTTGCCGAGAGGCTCGTAGAAGCAGTCGTTCTTGCTCCGACGACATCTTTCACATGGTAGTTGCCCATCGCAGCGAACCTTTGACGCATTACAAGACCTGCATGCCTGCGAGACGCGGCGATTGTCTCGATCGCTATGATTCTGGCGATCACCGCCCAGGTGAATCGTAGTGTGGTGGCGAGAAAGCGAGTCTCTGCCGACATGAGGTCAGGGTCTTGTCATCGATCTATCATTTTGAAGCCAGAGAATATGAAAGCCTGAGAAAATCGCGCGATACATACACTCTGCCAAAGCTCTGTCCGCACTCGGAGCATGCAAACGGTCTCTCATTGGCGTGAGTACGTAGATGACGCTGATAATGCTCACGCCGATTGAAGGACGTATCGCAAATTTCACAATAGGTATTGCTTTTTGCATTTCGGTTGGACATGACAGCTGTGGTTACGGCACGAAATGCAGTCACTACGGCTCGGCCGTGGAGAATGAGAACCGGGAGGGGATCAAGGTTATTTACGGGCCCTCTAGAGAAAAGCCGCCTTCCCCGGACACCAACCGCCTCTTGCCCCATGCTGCTAGGGGCGGGTGTCCCCGGCTTCATCATGTTAGAGTTGTGGAGTGCAGATCAGATCAACACTGAGCCACTCCAATTATGCCGGCTGCAACGCCAGGTTGCATCATCTGCACGGCGGAAAGAACCTCAGTTTAGCAGGACATGGCCCAGGTCAGATCATTCAAACCCTCACGGAACAGGCTCCAAACCTTTATTGGATTCAGAGCTAGATTCCTCATCATCAACCGTTAATTTGGCCATCGACATGATCCGTCTCAAATCCCTGGATGCAGTCCGTGCAGAATATGTCGATGAGTGTCTTCATGATCAAAGCAGCATCACGGTAAATATCATGAGTCCGGGTGGGGTTTGCCGATGTCACCAGAAAAACAACGACCTCGGCATGGATAATAGAGGCAACGTGTAACAAAGTCATTACTACCGCTAACGCTAGCACGGCCGAATTTGAAATCTTCGGAACATAGATCTAATTTCTTTCCGAGGAATTTCAGGCGTGCGATACCCTAAATTAGTTCCGAGATGTAGGAGGCAAAGCCGGCGTTCGGACGCCATCAAAGGTCCGAGAGATTTCGGGTTTCATCGGCCACAATTCCCCAACTAGGCTGGGAATACAGCCCCGGTCAATCAAGCTGGAACCATCTGAGAGGCGGTACCTGCCGGCCGAAACCCGGAACTGTCCTGCATACTAGCTAGCCCGACAAGAGACAACTTATCAGTACTATCTAATCACTAGCTGTGAACGTTATCTACACTCTTCCACCCAAACACATCTTTACCTGGCTTCAGTTTTCTGTTTGATAATGATACTTGATTCACTCTAAGACAGATATTTATTCAGCTTGAGAGCAATAAAGGTGCCAAAGACTAGGGGTAAAACTATAGATATTTAGATAATTAGAATTGTTCGGGAAACTAAGCGATAATAGGATTAAACTAGAGACCGCCTATATTTTATGTGACTGCGCAGCTATATTTTTTATATTCTTAATCACTCGTGTAAGAGATAATAGTAGCTACAACGATAACGACGACAACAATAAAGATAATAACGATAGAAACGACGACGATGATTAGAAGCTATGACGCCAATAGAAGCATGACGATAAGGCATAATGGCCACAGGAAAAGCAGCCGGCATAACATAGGAAAAATAGGCGGTCTCTAAAACTAAGCGACTGTTTCTACCGATACATGAGGACCTCAAAACAATTAGTACCGCAAGTAAGATTCGGCTGGCAAGTGTTATCCTTAACATCTGAGGTATTTAAGTCTCATAATAGTTCGCGTTCTGTTATTCTGATGCGCATCCCGTCAATGACCCCATAGTATTTCCGCAAGTGCAATCGATCTGATCAATTTTCTTCGTAGAATTCCGAGAACTATGACCGACATTCCCTTTACCAGGGACAGACCCTATATTCTCCCTAAACCTTGCCCGCGCCTGCATCCTTCTGGCCCTTAATGATAGCGGCAATTCGATTGCCGCCATTAGCTGGTGTCCCGGCACCCCGATTGAGCAGAGACTCGGGGTCACCAGTAAAACGGGTCGCGCAAAAACCCGCATCAGCGCTGAGGACCAGAAAGTCTTGTGGCTTCAGTCGGGCTACATAAATTGGCATAAGTATCTTAATCGCGGCTTTCGTGCTCTTAGCTTGGTCCCGCGAGTTATCCTGGAGCTGACGAAAATGAGACGCGGAGGTCCATGTGCAGTTTGTCTGTCGCAACAGATCTTAGAAAGCCTCAGTTATGCACAGGTCTCCTATGACGTTTATTCCAAAGACATGACGGAAAGCAGTGATAGCAACCAGGCGGGTGTCCCATTGAAACAATTGCAGCGTTATTGACCGATATGTTTAGTCGCTCAAACTCAAGCTGTGGCGGGCCAGTTTTTGAAGATAGTTAGGCAATCACATAATTAAATCAAATTTGAACCCTTCTCTAGGTTACCCTAAAGAACAAAAGAAGAGGAGACGGTGATAAAGGAGTGCGGACGTTGTCGTCCGACAGATATCGAATAATCCCGACCGGCCCCACTTCTCCGGTCCTAGGGCCGGACAAATCCCACCTCCGGGCTCGTTAGCTGCGACGCCGATGGGTTTTAATCAGCCGTATGTCATTTCATCGGTTCCGACCTTCCCAAAATGGGTCTTCGACGCAAACCTGAGGAGCCGCACCATGCCACACTTTTTTTCGACTGCGTTATAAGTAGCCAGCATTTATTCAACAGCTGTTAGTCCTGAGTTCTTCTCTCTTTACTCATCGCCACATTGATTTCTTGTATATCTTTTCCGATGCATCGTCACAATCTTTTATCGATCTTTGGTCTCGGCCTGGTAGCAAGCTCGGTAGCCCAAAATGCCTACTCAAAGTTAACACTGGATCCTACATATCGCACAGTTCCACCACCCAATGACGACTTTCCTCAAGACCCGCATCACGTCCGGGTTGTTTCGATCATCCTCTTAGCCATATCACTCACTTTCGTGGGCATTGGTCTGAGAGAAAGTAAGCGCTGGGGCTCGACAGTCCCTGCGGCCTTAACAATCGGATCTGCTACGTTTGTCCTAGTCGAAGCAATCAACTGCTATTTGGCCAACGTCTACTGGACCACGTCTAACGACCCCGGAAAACTCATGTTCACCTTACTTGGGCGTGATTTTGACGTATACGTCGGCATTATCTGGTGGTCTTACGGGGCCGTTCTCAGCTGTGGTATCTTCGGCGCGCTGATGCGTGACATCCGAACCGGAAAGCTATGGGCTCTCCTCGGCTTTGCGGGACTGCTGGACATCATCCTCGAAGAATGCATGCTCATGTATGGTGGTATTTATACATACTACGGCCACCAGCCGCTGGTGTTCAACGTTTTCCCTTGCTGGTGGGCCTTTTGCAACGTCTCAAGCATTTTTGTCGGCATCTCCATCACTTACAGATACCGCCACCTGCTTGAGGGGTGGAGAAGCTGCTTGGTTCCTCCGATTCTACCGCTTTGCTATGCTGGTCCGCAGGTCCTCGCAGCTCTGCCTACCATTTACGCAATCCAGGCAGATTATTCTCCGATGGTTACTCAACTATGCGGCATTGTCACTTGTGTCCTTGCGGTGGTTCAAGTTGGTGTTACTATGGATACCGTCCTGGGGCGCGATCCAACGGACATCAACAAAGTCGGGCGGGATACTCAATCTCAGCTAGCTCGTCAAAAGCTGTTTTGAGAGATGATCTAGACAGCTGGAATTCGTGGTATTTGCGGCCATTTACCTGCTTTTTGGACGGAATGATAGAAGCAAACGGGAAGAGGAAAAGAGGGACGAATCTAGGCATGTATGCAACTGACTGTTCATACAAAATACCCATCCCTGAGTCTTCAAGGTTGTCACAGTACCTAGTTCAATACTGACATTGCTGCTCTTGGTCTCTTAAAGCCTTACCTGGATGTTATTTTGCAATTGCGAAGGACTGAGCTTTTTTGCATGGCAGTAGCATCTAAGTGAATGTTTTCTCGTTAAGTAACGAATGTACTTGTGCCCGGAGTCTCAAACTCTCCATCAACATCGTGACATACACCAATGTTGATGGATTTACAAGCAACCACGAAGAAAAGAACTAGAAGTTTCCAAGAACGGTCACGTTCTTCACGTCAGCTCCCATCCGCAGCACAACATCTTCACCCATCACCTCATCTGCGGGAGCGCCGTTGACAGTGACCTTTCCAAGGCTTTCTCCAGCCGGGACGCGCCACTTGACGCGAGTCTCGGAGGGAACGCTCCCACCGAGAAACGCGACCTCCGCAGTGATCGTCCGAGCCGTGATGTTGGTGAAGGTGCTGAATTCCACACGCCCCCAGCGCGTCGGCGATCCGGTTGCCGCGGTTGTGGATGTAGTAGCGGTGTGCGTACAGGAAGAGGACGAACTCGTCCGTCCGGTCGGCCAGAAGGAGGCGCAGAGCGTAACCGGAGCCGATGAGGCCTACGATTTCGCGGCTCTCCGGCTTGCGGACCAGGACGTTGGCGAGGAGCCCTGTGGGGGTGAAGTTGTTGGCTTTCATGGAGTCGATGACGGTGTTGACGAGCTCGAGGGGCCCATCTGTTCATTGATGGCCATTCCACGGCAAGGGAGTCTATGGTGGTGTTTTGGTTCGGGGTCGGAGGAACATGGGGCGGGTTTGTGTGTTGCCCAGTGGGCGATTTGATACTGGCGATGGTCTGATTGACCATCACTTCGGCACGGGTGGTCCAGTCGGCGGTGTACTCGGAGAACATTTTCTGATGGCTGAGTTCTCGTAAGTCTCGAACCGTGTAGGCTTGGTAGTTGAAGCAAGGCAGGTTGAAGTATGTCGGGTGGACTATGACGGAGCCGGACTCGCTCCATCCGTGGACCAGACGTAGAAAGGATCAGAGGGGCCGGCCCAATGCTATACTCTCATCGTGAAGGGTCGGGAGGATGTTAACCCACGCCAGACTCTTGTCGCGATAGGTTTTCAGCAAAAGCGATGGATTCGACCCAGTCCTGGCCGTCGGATCCGCGGCGGAAGACCTTGCGAGAGCCGGGCCGCCATCTGCCTAATAGGCCGTCATAAGTCCAGTTCCTGTACTCTGGGTCTCCTAGGATGTCTTTCTCTTGGAACTCGAGGGGGAAGTGATTCCAAGTTCTGGTGTCCGCTCGCACGGTGAGGGTATTGTTGGTCTGGACGTTTGCGAAGGTGTCCCAGCCCGCGGTGTTGGGAAACGGCAGGACGTCTCGGACAGGGACCTCATCAGGCTCTCCGTCCTTGAGCAGCGCATCAGCAAGAAGGTTATTTGGTGCTTGGTTGACATCGGCTGGGTCCACGGCTGGATCAGCCCGAGTTTTGGTAAACCCAAGTTGCGTTGCAAACCGTTTCGTCAATCCGGTTTCGGGTACCAGGACAATGTCGCCTCCTGGCTCTGCCAAGTCCTCGTAGACAGTCCAAGACATGCCATCGAGGGTGAAAGTATTGGTGATTGTCAAGCCCCCCGGGGCCGTTGAATGGAACGCCAAAGCAGGGATGGCCGCTGTCGAGAGGCAGAAAATGAATTTAAAGACTTGGAAAGCTCACATTTTGACCAGCTTGGCGGAAATGTTTTGCTTCTCCTAACATGTTGACATCGGAGACATGACGCCCTTTATACGTATTCTTCTGCTTCATGATGTTGGACTATGCGAAGGCACTCGAGGTTTAGGCTCTTGCCCAGCACCCCGCCCCGGATAATTGTCATGTCATCGACGTAGTATCCAGCTGCTGCCGCGTGATATGTCGGAGAAGACAATGGCGAAGTTCGACATTGATCTCTTGAGAATTAGTCAGAGTCAATGGAACTTGGCGTTCTTGGGCGGGGTTGAGATTGTCTCCTCTTGAAGTCATGCTCGACACGTTGATAGGCCGGGGTGAAAGTCTTGCAACCTCATCTAACAGCAAAATAGAGGTCCGCGCCAATGACAGTCTCAGAGTAATAGTTGTAATGGTACGAGTTGCAAAGAGGGCACATGTTCTCCCGGCAAGCCATCCGCTCCAATCGCGAAACTCGTTTGCAGGTTGGAGGAGTTGGTAAAAGCCAGTGTCACCCTTCGCCACAAAGATCATCGCAGCATGCAGTCGAGGGGCAAGTCCGTCTTGGTCGCTTCCAGTTTCTGAGAGACCAACCGTCCTGCACCTTTAGAGAACCATGCCATCCTCGAGGCAAGTCAGTGGACGTGATGTGCTGGGCCTTCCCCCCCATAGTGCAGAGCTTTGTTTTCATTTGCTTTTTCTTTTTCTTTTTGGGAAGGGGAGGGGGGCGCGCGAGAAAGGAAGGAAGACTAGCATATTCGTTACTTCCAATTTCGGAGTTTTTGTTGATGAAAAAGCCATCGCGGAAGTTGCTTCCCAAGTAGGTACTTACCCGTAACCCGCCCGATGTCTTGCGGATAGAAACCACCCACCCCTCTTTTTCCACAATATGAACTCAGGCACACTGGAAATCTGCACCTTTCTTTTTGCAAATACGCCAACGACACCTCCCGGCCTCTACTCGCGTCCTGATCACGTCGCGTCGGATCGTGATCCGCATCCGCAAAAATGCCTGATCGAGATGTAAGTGGCCAATACAATGCTTTCAATCCCCAAGGCTAATTGAGCCGCAAGAACCTAATCTACAAGGCTTTGATGTGTGCCACGTCTCTCAACGCCCGCGAGAAAGAGATCGCGATTGAGGCCTGGCTCCTTGCCAAAAGGTCTCACGACGCCTTGTCGTCGGCATGGACTGCCTCAAAAGAAAAGATTCGGCTGGCAGAGAACGACGCCGAAGCCAACAAATACTGGGCCAGGTTCGAGAGCGTACGGGCACAGTACGCCTTGATCGATAAGATCGCCCAGCAGAAGGAACAGTTGGCACGAAAATGGAAGCCGCCGGAGGTGATTTATATTGACGATGACGAGGAGGACTCTGCTCGAGGAGATGCTGCGAGAGATGACGACGCGACAGTATCGTCTCCCGAGGCTGTCGAGATTCGCAGTATGAATCCGCAGAAATCCGTGCAGACCAGCGACGACATGAGCGCCGGCTTCCAGGCTTCGACCTCGGCGTTGCTGCAGTTAGGCCTCGACAAAGTCGTGGGTCTTGACGCAATCTTGGGGCCAACCGGCTCCGTCCGTGGACACCAAAAGAAGCAAGGGACCAAGCGGCGAGCGGAAGAAATTGAAGATGACCCCTTGTCTGTCAAAAAGACAAGCTCAAAGCAAATCTTTTCAGCGAGCACGAACAAACGAGGAACGACAGAAACATCACAGGAGCCCGAGAAGCCAGCAAGTCCGAGAAAGGTGTTCATGAGGATTCCGGATCAAAGAAGCGCCGAAAGTCGTTTGACTAGCTCTCCAAAGAACCTGCGAAGTTATTTGGTTACAGGTCATCATCGAAAGCACCGCGTTGAAACACATTCCGATCACCTCTCGGCCAGGAACAAACGGACATGGACTCGATAGTATCACCATGGATTCGACATGGAGCGGCGTTATCCCTAGCCATGCGTCAAACGACGTCGAATATTATGACAAAGATACCCGCGGAGGCGAAGTTGGGATGGCCTGGATGGCATCCGGCAAGGTCGCCTCGGAGCCAACGGGCCATTCGGAACGAGTACACCAGCCGGATCGTATACCGAGAACAAGAATCGCCTGACAGGTGTCAAAAGGAAGGATTAGAGATGGCATTTGTTGAACGGGTTTGTGGGCGGCGGGTTCGCAGCTGCGCATGAGCGGTTATCCCAGGTCGGAATACATGTGAACGGCTTCTGCATGTAGTAATGCATTCGTGTCCAGCAATAGCATATGCGATATGGATTTCAGAAACGATTCAGTGTGCAGTTTCCGTACGTGGAAAGGGCAGCGAAGTTTCGTTTCCAGGTTCCCTGCAGTAGGAAAGATGGGATTGACGACGGACGTAGGGCGGAGAGTGGCTGGGGGTTCCCGAGTTGCATGACTCCATCGTGTCCGTGTGCGATATTCAAACGGCAGAGTGTGGCTGGGCAAACACATTTAAAGCAAGCAGAGAGAAGTTTATGTCAGCACCTTGCGACATGGCAAAGAACAAACGGAAGGAGAATTCCCATCAAGCGTCGGGCCGAGGGCGAGGAATCCGGATGTCTCCAGCAGCAGGTCCCGGTCACCAAGGAGAGGGACGCCAATGTCTCACTCATCCGCCAGCCGTCACAGCCATCGGGCCAGAATAGACGGGAACAAGCACAGAAGACAGGAGAAAAGAATGGCGACGCTGTCGTCGGACTGACAGCGTCGCAATGAGGTTCGTCTGGTCTGAGACTCGTCCGACCCCCGGAGCATTGGCCCCTGGGTGTAAGGGCCCCCTGCGAAAACCCCACGATGGACGGGAAGTGCTTGGCGTCCTTCAGGATGGCCAAGTGCGCAGTTCCAGGTGTGCTGACCGAGGCGTCTACAGCGCCCCATTGGAAGATGCCCGGTGAGGTGCCCCGCTGGAGGAGAGCTCTAACTGCTGCTGTGGGTGCTGAGGCCCCCTGGAAACCGGGGCTACTGCGTGCGGAGCGCAGTGCCGAAGCAGCTGCAGGGGCATCACGGGTTGATCTGCGCCAGGGCCAATTGGACGAAAAAAGGCTTCCCCCCTTCACCCAGTGATGCTCACAACATCATTCGCTCGCGGGACCGCATTCGGGAAGCAACAGGACGGATGCTTTGTTGCATCTGCATCCCCAAACCAGCCCCCCTCCCCTCCCCCCGAAAAGCCAAGACTCTTCTGCAAGCCAGCGAGCCAGCCAGACATGCATCATCTCCAGGACATCTCCGTCGCTGGGCCGTCTCTCAAAAGGGCCGCCCTCCTCAACGTGTCCGGCCCAGCGGTCTGGATGTTCTTGTTTCTTTTCCCGCTCCCTGCTTGCTGCTGTGCATTTCGACATTTCACTCCGCCGGTCGTGGGTTGAAAGGGCGGCGGCGATCATCACATCTCATCTCCTCCCATCTCATCCTCCCTCCGTCCCGACTATCTACTATCTGTCTCCTGCATACGACGGACGACCTACCGTCTGTTAATGTCATCTTGAGTCCGTCCGAAATAGAATCATACCCTGTCCCCGGCCACGTCGTCTAGTCCGACCTGCCTGCCCATGAATGATCGCCGATTCGATTCAGCTGAAAACAGCCCTCCAACCTGCTTCACACCAACTCCGGACCCTCTGCCTCTAATATCAAGAATACCACCCGACAACGCACCCGTCTGCGACTGGGGCTGCCGCGTTTCCTCTCCTCCCCTTCCTCGTTTTAGGCTCGCTCCAAGGTTTTCGGCTGCCATCAGTGCCATCCTACCTTAATATTACGCTTTCCTCATATTTTACCTTATACTTCCCGCCTGAGACATACGCCGCATCGGGGAAACAGCCCAAAGGTCTTATTATCACATCCATTTTGTTGTTTTTTCGTCTCTTCCCTTCCGGCTGGCGTGTGTCTTGAACTCATTTCGCTCTGCACCAGAGTCGTCGTCACTGGCATGCCAGAGAGTTTACCTTTGAATAACCTGTCCCGGACGAAGTTTGAAAAAACGACACGCACAACCAAGAATAACGAGAACGAACAACTCAACATCTCGCGACAGAAAGTTGATCAGTATACACACATACAGCGATGATCAAGACCATCCGGCCGTCGCCATCTTCACCCCTCCCCGCTACCAACCGATAATTCAGTCCCTTTTTCATCTGTTTTCTCATCGCCGGGTTTTCTCATTCTCAACATCAACCAGAAGGGCACACAAAACACACACACACACACGGACACGATGGAACGTCCCCACCGTCCACCACCGCTCACGATCCCCCCTCCACCCCGACACCGGGCCCGAGTCCGCCGCTCACGACGCCCGAACCACCGGCAAGCCCGCCAGTTCAAGCGCTGGCTCCTCCGTGCGCAAATCGCAAACGACGTGGCGCACGTCGCCGCCGCGAGCATCTTGCTATGGATCATGTCGTGGTTCCTGTACAACGTGCCATTCCCCTTGACATATCGCACAGGGTAACTCACGCCTCAATTTCTCACGTATTTCTCGCCAATACCAAAGAAACTAACACAACACCACAGGCCCGCCGCAGTCGCCCTCATCATCATGCTCTCCACAGACATCCTCCTCGACGCCCGCTCAATAGTTCACGCCCACGACCCCTGGCCCGGCTGGGCCCTGCTCCTCCGCCTCGCCCTCGGCCTCGGCCTCATCGCCGTCTTTGCCGTCTACATCGCCCTCGGCGGTGACGTCTTCGCCCCGGATTTCGAGTACTGGGGCATGTCCGACGCCTATGGCCGCGTCCTCGCCTACATGTTCCTCTGGGGCCTCGGCCTGTGGAACCTGCTCTTCGTCGCCCTGTGCCGCCACTGGCTCGCCAAGGAGGTCAAGCGCTACTCGGGCGACGCGCGCGAGCTCTTCACCGGCGGGCGCGCGCCCGGCGAGAGCGCGTTAAGGTTGGGCAGCAGCGCCGGCGAGGAGATGGGCGCCGCCCCGCCGCCAAGGGAGGTGGCCACCGTGGACCTCGAGGCGGCGCGGTTCGTGAGGGATGAGGTGCGGAGGGGCGATGTGGTGAATGTGCCGCTGCCTGTGCGCATGGGCACGCGGAGGGTGAAGGACAGCGTGGGCGGGGTGAGCGTCTCTGCGGATTCGATCGCGAGCGGGAGCACGAGTCCGCCGCCCGTGGCCGTGACGAGACCTACATGACCCCTGGCCTGTTCTCACACGGAGAAGGACGAAAAAAAGTAATCACTTAGACGTACACAGACATCACATAAGCCATAACTACATAATGATAATGCAAATATATCCTGACAGCGGCATTGAGCAAGTGGAGATGCTGTCGTTCACTCACTCAGTCGTTCAATGCATTCGTTTTTCATGGGATGACACGAATGACAGACAACGTCCGCCCGTCTGATTTTGGGGTTACATATGCCGATGGTCCCATCGGACTTCCTTTTCGTCCCATGTTTTTGTGTTGTTCGGATTCGCGCGATCAGGGAATCGGGATTAGGGGAGAAGCTTGCTCCCGTGGAAACGTCGGATGTTGCAACTGCTGCGGTGATGCAATGCCGTGAGTCGTGGGGGGGTATATCGGTGCTGGACTAAGACGTCTGCGAGCGACAACGAAGAAAGACGACGACGGCGGACTACGACAGACGACGATAACAGACGATGACGACGGCTTTGACACAGGAGTACAGCAGCCACAGCACAAGGTAGGTTCTATCTTCGATTATTCAGCCGCTTTTTGGGTATCTATTCTGCGCTACTCTTATACCTAACTGTTCACATCTACCGCTAGAACCAGGACGCCAGCTTTCGTGCTTCCGGATGGTTGGCGTAAAGCTCGGCATCAGCAGCCGCTGAGAGACTTGTCCTGGTAGAGCGACCACGGCGTTGCGGCTGCGCGGGAGGTACTACCGCAGAGGCCGTCCTCACAGCGTTTGTTGTTGTTGCTGCTGTCTTGTTTGTCGTCGCTGTCTTATTCGCGCCCTTATTCGCCTTGCTTCCCTTCGTGGCCGCTCCTGCCCCCGTGTACCTTGGGATCTTGCTCTTTCCCTTGCTGCTTCCCTCGCCGTTGTCGATGTCAAGCTCAACGACAGGCACACTAGTGGTAGCTTTAGCTTTCCCCTCTGCCATCACTTTGCTGCTGGCCCTGCCATTGTCTAGATCCACAATGACGGGCGCCATCGAGACAGCCTTTCCCTTCCCCTGCGCCTTGCTGCTGCTGGTGCTGGTACCTGCTTTCTGAGCTGGCTTCTGAGCTGGCTTCTGAGCTGGCTTCTGAGCTGGCTTCTGAGCTGGCTTCTGAGCTGGCTTCTGAGCTGGCTTCTGAGCTGGCTTCTGAGCTGTCTTCTGAGCTGGCTCCTGAGCGGTAACTCTGGCTACCGCCTTTCCCTTCCCCTTGGTCTTACTGCTGACACTGCCCTCATCGCCGTCGTCGACATCTATCTGGTGCGACTGGGCATTCTAAACCCTGACCGGCTGTGCCACTTGCTTTCCACTACCATCAACAAAGAAATGGCTGAATGCCTCCTCGTCGTTATCGTCCTCCAGGTAATGTGAGTCTTCCTTCTCCGGGGGCAGAGTGGCATAGAGTCCTTTTCCCGCTTTTGGCCAATTAGGGTGAAGATAATCGTCCTCATTGTCCTCTGGTGCAGCATCGGCCTCAGGGGCGGTCGTCAACTGCAAAATGGGTCGCACACCACCGGGCTTGGAGCGTTGCTTGGAACGCTTGGGTGGTAAGTGGTTTCCAGTGCCGTTTGCGAGAACATTCGTACGAGAGCTTTCGGGCTGCTACTGGCATGTTAGCATTCTGAGCCTCTGATACAAGAAGGGAAACATGCCGTCCTCGGCTGAGCCCAGTCTGGCGAGCGGAAGATCGGAAGATCCGGCTGCTTTTTGGACACCGAAACGAGAATGTCCACCAACAGGCCAGGCTTGATTCGCTCACTGAAAGACAGTAGATTAAGCAAGTCCGTCCTACGGAGTTCCTCGAAATACTCTCTCCTCTGTTCTTGGGGTCAGCGCTCGCTCTTGTCGTTTTGTCCAGAGCACATACCGCATCAGTGCTGGCATCGCCAGCCCCGAATCCCACCAGCTCAGGCTTGATGAAATCTGGCAGACCCTCGAGATTCCTCGTCCTCAATCTCTCCACTTCGGCCCGCTGCTTCTTCAGATCGGATTGCTGCTGCTTCGCCTCGCGGTACTTAACCAGTTTGGCTTGATAGTTAGCCTGCGCCTTGTCTTCGACGACGCAAGTGCTGCACTTGAAAGTGGCAGGGTTGCTAGCTGTTTCCTCAGAGACCTGGGGATCGTGACAGAGCTGGTGCCAGGCCTCGCCGCAGCCACAAGTGATGATAAGGTTTGCGGCAGTATCCGAGCTGCGCTGGCACTTCACACACATGGAAGAATCCTTGACGCGTTTCCTTTTGGCAGGCGGTTTCGGGGGCTGGATGGCAACGGGCTGAGGTTCGTCTCGGGGTGTGGGGCGCGTTGGTGGCCTGCCGTCATGCTCGTCTGATCCTCGCTTCCTCTTGACCCCGCTAGGTGATGGCAGTTGATTGGCATACGTGGCGGCTGCTGCGGTAGGTCTGGGTGATGCTGTCGGCATTGGCAAAGTTGTCGATGTGCTGAGCGTCTCCACGAGTCTGCGCTTAACGTCTTCGTAAGTTGCCTTTGCTGGGGCGGAGAGTTGGGCGGTGGTGAAGCCAAGGGACGGGGAGGAGTTGCTTCCACTGCCATTCTCGTTCTTGATTCGGCTCAAAATCTGCTTGGTCGAGGCTGTAAACTGTGGGGTATATCTCGAAGGCGTCGGCGATTTGCCCTCGTTCTTCGAGATTGTAGGAAACGGTCGGCTTGGGCCGGCTGTGGTAGGCGTAGACACGACGCCACTACCAGTCTGGACAGTGGATGATGTGGCGTCCGAGGCCTGCACGACTTGGGCACGCATCGCGCTCAACTCGTCAGCCTTTTCCTGCTTAATAGCCCACAGGCGGGAGGCGTCGTCGGGCATTGTGTTCTCCATGGCGTGAATCGATGCTAGTTATATTGAAGGGCGGGAGGTGGTTGAGTCGGATGGTCTGGAGAAGGTGGAAAGCTGTGTCGCGTGACTTTCACGTGACCTGGACCGTGCTCGCCTTGCTGTGGCAGGTACGTACTGTTTCGGTCACCCTCGGTGAGGTCAGATCCTCACGAGATGGGTTAAAACGCAGCAAAGTTTGGCGATGTTATTTCCCGAAAATGAAACCACGTTTTTGAATGAGACCGCCTAAATCTTCTTTTTATTACCATCGAAGACGATAGTAGAAACACTAATAGTAGCGACGACGATGACGACAGCAGGCGACAACGACGACGACGAATAACGACAATAACGATGACAACGACAACGATAGCATCGACGACGGCAAGGTAGAGTATAATTAATCACAGGCAGTACGGCCGCTCAGACAAAGGATACATAGGCGGTCTCATTCCATCAATATGAGCAAAATATATCTGGGCAGGAAGCGTTCTATGCCGATGACTTACCAATGACACCTCGTACGGATTTGACCAGAGATATGCTTCGGCATAGAAGATACGTATCTTTTCGGTCAGTCTCGGTGAGGTCACAACCCCTTCAGAGTAGGTTAAGAATGCAGTGAAGTTAAGGCAGCAAACCCCTGGGGACACCTCATGGCTGGTGAAAGGCGGCGCTAGGTAGGCCACATGGTCTTGGGCGGGCTTATTATTGCAGTGAGATGAATTAGTCGTTCTTACACAAGAAACCACGGTCATCTTGCCTGATTTCGGGGCGTGCCTTGCATCAGCACACCGAGTCCACATGATGCTAAAATTGCAATTCTAGAAGCATTCTATGACGACAACTTCCAGAGGGCACCAACGGATTTCAATCAAACGCACGTTTAGTACAGTTGGAAAGAACTAAAAACGCTCCATAGAAAAGCTGCTTCGCGTAATTCAATCTGTGCTGCACTCACCGAGGAGAAGTTGCGTATTGTTTCGGTCAACGTCGGTCAGAGCCTCTCGAGGGGGGTTAAGAATGCAGTGAACAGGTAGGACTTTACATAATGTTTGAAGCCAGCAGAAGCTTATCTGCATCGTCCATTGGTTCCCAATTCCCAGACTGACCCGAAATCCCGGAACACGATCAGCCCTGCCGAGAACCAATGACACCACCCCCCTTCAACTCCCCAATCCTCTCCTCCGACAACCCCAAATGCTCCCCCAGCACCTCGCTCGTATGCTGCCCCAGCGTCGGCGGCGCCGTCCGCACGCCCGGCTCGCTCTCCGAGTACTTCACCGGCGTGTTCACCATCCTCACCGGCCCGCACGCCCCGTGCTCCATTTCGACGACCATGTTCCGCGCCTTGGTATGTGCGTGCTCCAGCGTGCCCTGCACGTCGTTGACCGCCGCGTACGGCATGCCGCGCCCCTCAAACACCGCCAGCCACTCCGCCGTGGTCTTGGTCACCGTCACGGCCTCGATCTTGCCCTCGAGCTCGACGCGGTTGGCCACGCGCTGCGCGTTGGTCTTGTACTTTGCGTCGTCCGCCCACTCGGGCCGCCCGAGGCCCGCGCAGAGGATGCCGTAGAGCCGGTCGTTGCCGCCGCCGAAGAGGATGTCGCCGTCTTTGGTCTTGAAGGACTTGTACGGCACGATCGATGCTGCGGACAGTGTCAGTTAGCTAGCCCACACAGACAAGAGAGCTTGGTCCCGAGATTCCACTCACGATGCGCAGTCCCCCACCGTCCCGAGTCCTTCTCCCCACTAACCAAACAACTACTCGCAATATTCGCCAACGTCGCCGTCTGGCAATCACTCAGCGCCACATCAATATGCTGGCCCCGTCCCGTCCTCCCCCGTGCCAGCAGCGCCGCCATGATGCTGTTACTCGTGTACAGCCCCGTCGTCAGGTCCGTCACCGCGACACCCACCTTGACCGGCTCCCCGCCGCGGCTGCCGGTGATGTGCATCAGCCCGAACTCCGCCTCGACCATGACGTCGTACCCCGCGCGGTCCGAGTACGGCCCCGTCTGGCCGTACCCCGTGATGGACGCGTAGATGAGCCCCGGGTTGATGGCGCGCAGCGTCGCGTAGTCGAGCTGGTACTTGGCGAGCGTGCCGGGGAGGTAGTTCTCGACGAGGATGTCGCATTTCGCGACGAGCTGGTGCAGGATGGCGATGCCGTCTGGGTGTTGGAAGTTGAGGCCTAGCGACTTTTTGTTGCGGTTTACCTGAGGCAAAGAATCAACATTTGGTTCACAAGAGTGGCCAGGGCGTGGGAATTACGGCGAGGAAGTAGGCAGATTCACCCGGTCCCTGTTTGCCAGAGTCTGCCTTGTAAGTTGCGTACGGAGGGCCCCAGGCGCGTGTGTCGTCGCCCCTCGTAGGATGCTCGATCTTGATGACTTCGGCGCTGGTGATGTCAGTGAGATGAGCGGGCACCCTGGTCAAGAAGATGAGACGCACCCGAGATCGCCCAGTATTTGAGTGCAGTATGGCTGGTCTCATGTCAGCATACTTCCGCGTGTTTTCATTGGAAACAGACGCCTTACTCCGGCCAAGACTCTTGTCATGTCAAGCACGCGATAGCCGTCCAGGGGCAGCTTGCTGCTAGGCACTGAAGAGTACTGACGCCATGTCCGAGGGAAGCGTGCCGCCCTCACGGGTAGTCGCGCAGCCCTTGAAACTACACGCAACGGGACTCCAATCGAAAGGCTGCTCATCTTGATCGTTGACTGAATCCGTCAGCCTATGCAGGGAAGTCAATTGAGGGTTGAATACGGGGAAGCTGGTTTCCGTCAGAGCTCCGACCCCGGTCTAGCTCCGGTCCGTTGGCGGGGGTTCCGTTGCATCACCTCGGCATTGTTCTGGCAGTAGTGTGTATTATGTCATCGAGCACGGACCAATACTGTGACTTGCGCGGCATCGTATTGACTTTGATTCTAAACTGCAACGAAGAAATGTATGTCTGATTATGCTGTGTCCCATCCCAAAACACCAAACCGGAACGCCACGGCCTGATAACTACTAGTTTGAGGGAAGGGTGTCGAAAGCCTTCTTATCATAGCCCCATTCCTTCTCAACGAGTTTACCTTTAGCATTGAAAAGAAACCTGTAGGCAGTCTTGATGGTTCCGTCGCTGACGCCGGCCACGCCAGCAATGGCCTTTGAAGTTTTGGGCTCCGCCATCAGGTGAGCCGCCATGTAAATACACGCGGCCGCGACAGACAGCGGGGAACGTCCAGCAAGCTCAGAAACACTCGAAGTCTTGCGTGCAAGCGCCCGAGAGACGTTCTCAATCTTTTGGGCGTTGCGGAAATTGAGGTTGGAGCAGAAACGCGTGCAGAGGTCCTCGGCGCTGGTGGAGGCACTAGCCTTGTAACCATCCAAGTTCGACAGGGAGCCAGCACCGCGGGGGTTCTCCTCCTTGATCTTCTGGAGGAACGACTCGAGCTGCTTGAAAACCCTTCCGATCTCCTTCTTGGAGACGTGCGTGACCTGGAAGATCTCTCGGAAGGTACGGCCGACTCCGGTCTGACGGCAAGCGATGAAGATGCAGCCTGCGATGACAGCTTCTTGTGGCTTGCCTTTCATGAAGTTGTGGTCGTAGGTGAGCTTGAAGATGTGCTTGGCGGCGTCAGAGACGTTCTTGCCCAGATTGATACTGTCGCAGAAAGCGCCAATCTCCTTGTATGCCTGCATGAGCGACTTGCTAGCCTTGTCGTTCTGGGACTTGTTCTGCAGACGAGCGAGCTGCTTGGAATCTCTGCCCTCACCAAAGGCGATGGTGGTCTCGAGCTGGGAGCCGTTGAGGAGAGGGTTGACTGCGTCACCGACACGGGACGGATCGTCGTTGCCCTGGTCGTCATTGGCGAACGTACGCCACTCGGATCGGGTGTCGATGATGCGCTCGCCGACAACAAGTCCGCAGGAGCCGCAGACCATGTCTCCGGAAGAGAACTCCTCGACTAGGTTGGGCGGGTACTCTTTGCAGTCGGGACACATCACAACCATATTGAGGTCGTCCCGAAACCCTTCGGCATTTTCATTGTCGCTGGGAAGCATCTTGGGCTTGTACTTCTTGGGTGTATAGATGTTGTTGTTTTCGTCAAAAACCTTGCGGCGACGCCTGAGCTCCTTTCTTCTACGCCGGAGTTCTTGCCGCTTGTTGACGACCGCCTTGTGGTTGCCTGACGGGTCCTTGACGGTGTGTGCCTGAGTCCAGAGGAGGTCGTTGGTGAGTTGGACAAAGAGCGGCGAATGCAGTTTGGCGGTGTTTAAAGCAGTCGCAGTGCTGGTTGAGACGGTCGCGATAGCTGGTCAAAGCGATCGCGTGTGCCGTTCGGGAGGGTCGCGGTTGTCGTTTCGGACGATCGCGGTTGGTATTAGGGGGGCGGTTGCTGTTTACGACTACCGCAGGTGCTGTTTGGGAGTCGAGATGCACTTCTCGAGTCCTGCTTGATGAAGACGACGTTGTGTCAGGGAATCCTCAGACTGCTGATCGCTCTTTCTTTGTTGAACGGTAGACTCGTTCAGCGGGGAAGCTGCGAATGCGCTGGAGATGCCCTACAAAACATTTCAGGTGAGCCATGGTTCCTGACTTTCGGCAGGAATTTTCCTCTCTCACCAATTAAGACGACGGTGGTAAAGTCGCAGGAGAGGATGAGGGCTCGAGGAGAGTCGAGGAGAGAAGAAAAGTAGAAATGCAAGAGTGTCCTCCTTTCTTGCCAGCCGACCGATTTCTACCAGTGAAGGCGTCCGAGAGTGGCGAAACAAAGAACCACCCGAGTCCCAGTTCCCAGTCCAGATCACGGAGCAGTCGGCTCGAAGGGGTCGTGTGCGACGGTTCGCAAAATGATTGCTTTCAGAAGACGCAGGGCCGAAACGGGCGATGGGGCTTCCGAGATGCGGTTTTGCGGTGCTGCAGACGATCTTCGTGAAGGCGAGAGAGCGAGTGACGTTGGTGGGTTGTAGGGGGGAAAACCTGAGCCTCTGTTTCGGGGTGAGGATGCCACACTTTAGCCTTCCATCTGCTGGAGCCTAGCGAAGACAGGTGAGGCGGTAGGATGAGTCAGCTGAGGCCTCATTTTAAGTTCAGGCTTTTCAGTGGCAGGCACCACCCGTGGACCATCACGTGGGGCTCCTTCACCTCCAGGTTTGTCAGCTCATGGAACACGCCTGGACCTGCAATTTTTGGTCCACCGAAGCTTCCAGGTTACTACTGCGTAGGTAGGTAGGTAGGAGAAAACGACATCCCATGATACCTCGACATCTTGGGTACCTTGCAGTCATTCTCTATTCTCCAGAAATTTACAAACAAAAGAAATGGACGTTCTGAATATGTTCAGCGTTGGGTATCAATACAAAAGAAAAGAAGGTAAAGAAAGATACATGAATCTCACGACGAGACGGCAGACAGACACGCCATGTCCGGCGCACTCCATCAAAAATCACCTTACTCCCCGCCGTTTAATCCCACTAAATCAAATACCAGTGCGCCTTGAATGCATCATCTCCTGACGCTCTGCCGCCATCCACCTCACTGCAAATGTACCGGCGCATCAGACGGCCTCGGCAGCGGTGGCAACGCCCTCGACACGTCACTGCCACTGCCGGTGGGCATGTAAACCACCACCGGCGTCGCAGGTGGGGGCACCGGTTTCCTGATCAGCGGCGCCCGCGTCGGCGACGGCGTCCTCGATCGCGGGGGCAACGGGATCTCCACCTCCACGCCCGGATGTGGCTCGGCGTACGCTCTCTGCCGTCTGCTGCTGTCCGCCGAGGACACGCACGAGGACGAGGACTCCGAGTCGGACCGCGCCCGCCGCGCTTCGCTGGGCGCCCACTCGCCCCCCATCATCGCCTGCTCGTGCTGGTTATGGTACTGCTGCTGCTGCTGGTGTTGTTGCTGGAGGATATCGCGGTGCTCGCACGGCGGCTCCGGCATCATCCTCGCCAGCGCCGCGTGCCGCCGCAGCGTGCCCAGGTCGAACGACTCCTCGTCTTCCTCGCTGGAGGAGCCCCGGCTGGTGGACCGCGAGGGCGTCTTGCTGGCGAGCGACTTGCGGATCATGATGCTGCGCTGCAGCTCCTCCTCTTCGAGGCGCTCGAGGGCGCTTAGCTTGCGCCGCCGCGTGAACTCTTTGCGGGTGAGGTACGGGTCGCGCTTGCACGCCTCGCGGAACTGGCGGTTCTTTTTGCGGTCAAAGATGTAGAAGAGGGCCGCCGACATGATTGCGGAGCCGCAGAGGATGATGACGACGATGAGGACGGTGGTGGTGTTGGTTGTTGTCGTGTCTTCGGCGGTTGTGCTCCCCGGCGTGCTGGTGCTGGGGCCGAGACCGTTGCTGCTTGGTATGCTGTGGTCTCCCGGGGATGTGTCTTGTGATGATGCTGTCGCTTGTGCTTGTCTGACTCTGACTGCGTCGGCGATGGCAGGTGCCATTCTCCCTGTCCGTACTTATACTGACGTGTGGAGAGAGACGGGGAGGAAGGCGTTTATTTGTTGACAGCGGGCTAGAACCACAGACGCTGAGCTTGCTGGTCGGTTTGTCTGTGTCTGTCTACCCGCCGGCCTTGTCCTCGGAGGGGAAGGGCAAGCTTGTCGATGGTGCCGTTATAGTGTGCGCCGGCGCCGGCCTCCGGTGGTGCCAGCTGCTCGGATATGGTGGGGGTGGAAGAGGCAGAGGGGGGTGGCGGGTGTGTGTAAGTGACTTGATGTGAAGACGAAGTGCAGGTCACTGATACTCCGGACGACTGCACAAAAGCAAGGACGACAACATCGGCAGCATGCCCCTTTACAATGACTCCCGCTCGAGCTTTCAATGTCGATATGCAGTTCTGCGCTGACCTAGAAAAGAGTCCGTGTCGAGGGGCAGAAGAGGTGCGGGATGGGAGGTCCTTAAGACTGACTTCCTTCCCACCATCTCAAGAGCTGCCTACCTTGCCTACCTTAGGTGCAATCAGCACAGCTTCAGATGCAGCAGTGTGAACCCCGGCATGGGTTCACTGCGGTGCAAGAGCACGAGCAGAGCACTGCCAGGCGGATCGTAGGCCGTTTCCTCGAGGACCCATGAACAGGGAGTGTGCATAACGAGGCATGGTTGCATGGGTACAATTGACGGGGAAAGAGAAACAAAAAAAGAGGGCACGTTTGGGAATAGCAACAGCGACAAACCAGCTAAAGCAGGCAGATGCCCAGAGGCCCAGAGAGGCAAGGCACACTGTCTCGTTGACGCAGCGCTGCAGGACGTCATCAGAGCGGCCATCATTGGCTGCGCCATTCTTCCCGGCCCCCATGTCCCGTTCCCCAAACCCGCTCTGCCGCCCGAACCAACAGCAGCCCAGCTGAACCCCCCGGGGGGTCTTTGGTGCCTAGGAGGGGCGTGTAGGATGGTGCTAAATTGTAATGGCATCTGTCCATCACGAGGTTTTGCCTTTTCTTCTTCTCTCTTCCAGCTGTTATCCTCAGTAATCTGCGGGAAGAGACAGAATTGCAGGATCCAATGCCATGTCCGCCTGCCCATCCGCTCATCTCGACGTGAAATTGAGCCTTTGGGGGCACCACCGAGGCTTGACGGATCGCCTTCCCGGCGCGTGGCTCGTCTGCCTGGTGATTTCCGTGGCTCTATGGAATTCATTAGAGGCGTCACACGTCGATCGGGCTTTCGGAACTGTGGCGGTTGAGGTGAGCACCTCTGCGCGGTTGTGTTGCAATTGGACCGCTGTACGCTGTACCACTCTCACCCACTGCAACAGCCCAACTTAGAACCCTCGTCACCCCTGTCGACGAATGCCTTACTCGGTTTAGCATGAGCCTTTTTCAGCACAGCACCAACGACCTCTGCTCGGCCAGACCCTGGGGGAGGGGGCTGACGGAAGTGTGGTGCGCTGAGCTTGTTGGATGAACCGAGGAGAACTTTCCCCTCCACGCTTGGGGTGGTCAACGACGGGGCGGAGCTTGAGGGGGAACCCCCGGCCATCAGTGTGTTCGCGGTTTAGTCAGGCCTCTGTGGGCTGGCTGACATTTCCCCCAACTTCCTTCATCGAGTCACTTACACATCACACAATCATGCGATGAGGTCGGCGACAACGGTTGAACCTGGCTAGGCTGGCAAAATAGGGGCAGAACAAAGAAGGAAAACAGACTCATGGAACTTGCAAGCTCAACATGCCCGTGGCGAGCGGCCGTGGGACCGTTTATCCCACGCCGTCCAGGCTCTGGGCCCGCCAGCCGCTTCTTTGTCTTTCGTGAGCCTATTCTTTCCCACCCCCTACATCGACTCAACCTTCGCACACTCGCAACAAAGGAACGCAGCGTGGCCCATCGTGCGATTAAACATGGGCTGGGCCCGCCACCAGCAACGGCTGGCCAGCAACAACACGAGGCGGGCGGGAAAGAGGAAGCCTCTTCAATCGCCCGGGGGAAACACAATAAACAAACGCTGGTCGAATGGGCAGCCTCAGCCTTTTTTCAAATCCAACCGGCCAGTCGCTTTGTAGAGGCATGCCTGGGCTGGAGAAACACGGGCATTCAGCAGAAGTTTGGCTTGCCCTGCAACTCTAAACTATCCCATTTTCTGCCTTCCACTTCAGGGGCACGCAGCAACGCATGGAGCCTCCCTCTTTGTCCTGTGCACCCGTTTCAACGGGCTGCAGGGTGGTGTTTGTCCGGGCTCCCCCCTCGGAATTCGCACGCGGGCCAAAACCGCAACGAGGCATGATATTCAGAGTTCGTCTCCAGTCCGCGGGCGCTGCTCTCTTTGCGACGACCATGTACCGAACGTCTCAGGAAACGATGCTCGGTGCGGAGAGATATCGGAGGTGATTAGGGCTCCTTCTCTGTCCCTCTTGCGTCAACATCGAACACAGGACGACGGCACATACATCAGACAGACAGAGTACGGATAGATCTGAACCTCGGAGCTGGACTCCGACCCCGGAAAGGATTAGGCTGACAGACGGCTCGTCCACGATCGCGCACCCGGCAGGCGACATGAGTACTGGGTCGGTTGGTTGGATGGTTGCTCGCTTCTTTTGCTAGCCCGGCCCCCATCCAACCCGGATCTTCAGTCAGACTTCATCATACATCTACCACCAGCTCTTAATGCAGCTGCTGAGAAAAAAAAAAAAGGCTTTCAGTCCGCGCCGTGGTCTATTCGAAATCGCCCCGCTCGCTAACATGAACCACGTACGGGAAGTGCTTAGTGGCGGGGTAAACGCAAGAGACAGGCAGGTTATCCATCCGTACGACAGCGCGGCGTCAAACTCTCTTGCGTGTACGAACTGATCGGCCGTGTAAACAGGCTGCAGGACGCAATTGGGGGAACGCCGCCCCGCGATGCTGCGCTTCTTTGCAGAGTGACACCATATCACAGCACGGCCTCAATAGTCCGCTTGCTGCCTCGATGCGACGGGGTGGAGTTGAAACATTTTTTCTTGGCCAAAATGATAACGTGTTTGCGTTTCCTCGTTTGTCAGAGGATATCCATCTATTGACCAGAAAAGCGCGCGCTCCATTCACGAAACGTCGAGGATTCCTGGGCTTCCGGAGCAAAGTCGAAGTCATCCCATCTCTCACAGCAACTCACCCCCAGGGCCTATTTTAGGTTCATGTTCGCACACACGACGGTCCCCTAAAGACCCATCTGTGAATGGCGACTGGGCCGGGTACCTGAAAGGATTTTTTCCTGAATTGAGTTATGCGTGCAAACAGCTGCCTAATCCGCAAACCCGTCTCTTGAATCCCGCCCCTTCGACGACACAAAAGCCAAAACGCCATGCAGTCAGCTTCATATCGTGCTGACTTATGCTGATCCTCCCGTCCATCCGTCGAACCCGATGAACCCCTCCGCGGTCTGCTAAACCCCGCGATTGGGCTGGCTATTGTAAGCTCCTGCAAGCCGTGCCGCTCAGCGTGCCATTCCATAGTGCGGGCCCTCGGCTTGCTAAACCGCCCCGGCACGCTTACTCGACGATCGCCAACTGGGACTTACCCCCTCCCCCTCGCTCTGCACCAGAATTGGAATCATTATCGCGGCACATGGGAGAGACGCAGAGCAAGGGGAACGAAAGCGGAACATGGTGTGTTGGGTGAAGCCGACGACACAGAAGCGCGGCTGTGTAAGCGGACCGCGGCGCGGGAATCCTGCCGTGAAGAGACAACCCCACCTTGGCGATGTGATTTCCTCACATGTCTGTCACTTGAAGAAAGGCCCCCGTCTGTAGGGCCAAACCATGAAAAATGACATGCCGCCGCCTAGGCGCAGCGGATTTGTGCCCTTGGCTCGCTGCCTGAAGACTTCGAGACGATCTTGCTCTCATTCAGGACCGTTTGGGGCTGTTGGTGCGTGGAGATGAGGGAGAGGAAGGTAACCTCGATCTGCACGTCCAGTAATCGCTCGTAGCTCAGCCACCAGACGAGCGGCTGCGCCAGAGACATGCCGCCGTGTGACGGCGAGCGTCTTGGGCCCCCGCTGTTTTTGCCGCAGTCAGGCCGGGTAATGATGCACGATGATAGGTTTGGCGAGCAGCCAGGTTTGTGCCAGTCATTTGCGACAAATTGTCGTTGGTGATGAGTGAAGAGGCCCTACGCTGGGTTGAAGCCTCGAGGCGAAGCGGGTTTGTTGAAAGGGCAAGGTCTTAGCTCCTTGGTGGTGTCCACCATAGGTTCGTTGACTTGCGCGGGGAGCCTTGTCTTGGACCCCCGCCCCCCAATTGATCCACTAATCGGTAACCCCTCCAGCGCATCGTGTGATTTTTTGGCGGTTGAAGGTGGCGATGCATTCACAGTGTTGCTCAACGGGCGAAGGCAGCATCACGACTTGGCGAAACTCTTATTTCCTGGGTATCATGTCTTCTGCGACTTTCTGTCGCTCTCATATGTGTAGGGACTGCCTGTTGGCCCCCGAAAACGTATTCACAAGTGATAAGGGTCGTCATTCCTCATAATGTAAATCTCCCCCACGAGGACCGTGCAGCCGACGGTCATGGCGATGGCGATGATGGGAACGTTGACGCGAGCAAACTCCATCCTGCGGATGTGAATGTGCTTCCTTTCGAGGATGTCACGCCACAGCAGCCCTGCCAACGATGCGCTAAAGGCGGTACTGAAGGCGCCGTAGTTGACGCCGAGCGCCATGCTGTACACCGTCGCCCAGAACGTCCGATCGCTAATGTCGCTGCTGCCGGGCACCATGTGTATCCTCTGCCAGGCTTGGATGACCCGAGATAAAAGGATCGTGGTGCCGATGTTAGTTCCTGCAAACTAGAAAGCCACCAGAGTAAGCATATATGAAACGGCGCTCGATAATCTCGGGGAGACTCACATTGCAAAGGATGACCGAAAGGAAGCCCATGCCGCCGATTGCGCCGATGGTTCCCGTCTTTTCCACCCAGTGATCCCATCCGTAGGCAAAGACCGGAACCCAGCCCTTGGTGACAAGT